CATCTTGTTCTTTATGTGCGGATTGTGTGCCACTGTGTTCGTGACACTTAAGACATTTAAGGAGGACAACAGTGACATCAATTCTCATGGAATAAAACGTGAAGAACCAAAAACATCATCTCTGCTCAGAAATCGTCATTTTCTGATTATTTTTTCTTCATTTGTTATCGTTCACTTTAGTTATTTTGTTCCCACTATACACATAGTAAGTATATATCAATCTTATTTTTTTGTTTGGTAAACAGAGAACTATACTTCTAATTGCCACTTATTGCATAATTCTAATCCAAGCTAACCAAGAGACGTCGTCTCGCAATGGTAGACAGAGAATTGAGAAAGTTGTAGAGATGTGGAAGTTTGTGACGTCAGAAAAGCTTGTCGCATAAACAGAACATAAACAAAGAGAAGACAGAGAGATAGACATGCAGAAGAGTAACCCCGTGGAAAGAGAGATTTAGTGGTAGAACGAACGAGAAAGAGAAGGCCGGAGAAGATTTGCTTCCGAGTTTCTAGAGGTTTTGTAAGACAAGGAAAAAGGCAGATGGACAGAAAGACGGACAGACGGTCAGACGGTCAGACGGTCAGACAGACGGACAGACGGACAGACGGACAGACGAACAGACGACTCTTATAAAGAGAGAAAGGCGGGGTAGGTAAGCAGCGAGATAGGGGAACTGACGTGCAGATTGGCAAGCTGGTGGGCGGTAAGCAAATCATAAACCGCGACAGTTAATTTTGATGAGACCTTTACATCTTATATTTCCAGGCAAAACACAGCGTAGAAGAACTCCATATGTCCGAAAAAGATGTCTCCTTATTATACACTTACATGGCTGTAGCTTCCTTTATCAGTCGCCATCTTTTCTGCAAATTGGGAGACTTGCCATACTTCAATAGATTCTATCTTTATCAGGGGGGCATGACCATCAGTGGACTATGTGTCCTTTGCATTCCTGCAGCAAGGTCGTTTATTTCTATACTCATACCATTAATGGGATTTGCACTCATGGATGGAGCGATGTCGGGGCAACAGTCTCTGCTTGTATTGGAATGTGTGGGACATCACAATGTGAACCGTGCGTGGGGTTGTATAATGCTTTTTGTAGGGATTAGCGCTAGTGTTGGACCTCCTTTAGTCGGTAAGTTGAATTTAATGTTGCAATTACAGGTCATGGATTGGAGATTGTCTCTATTTAACTCCCACCACAAACAATCCACTCATTTTTATCTAGTGCACTTATGGAATGACGTTTTCCTGATAGGTCTTATGGCTGACATGCTGGGCTCTTACACTATCCCATTTTATACTACGGGCGTGGTGCTGATAGTAGGGGCCTCCATCACATCACTTATGGCTTGTGTAAATCAACAATCCGAAGAAATTGACACCTGCATCGTTCAATCAGAAGTGGAAGAACTTACGGTCGCTGAAAAAATAACTGTATTGTAGAAATGCTATTTTTTTGTCTTTAGTTTTCCTACGTTTTGATCGGTTGCTTTAAATAAATAAGCTTTGAAATAATATTAGTTGCTTTGTTTTACTGTTCCGTCCTCATTGTCTTCTAAAAATAAGATTCATTGGGTAAAATATAGTGGAAATCGTGAATAGAACGTAGAGCTGAGGGTGAGTAAGTTTATTTATAACACAGGATCTATTGTCCAGTCTTCCATGATGTAAACGGAAAATTGTTTGGTATCCTTGTGAATCACAAAGAATTGCGGGCGCGCAGCGTTTTTCAATCCTTGCGCATCCTTTAAAGACTTGAGCGTATGTTGTTGCTTTCTTGCATTATACTGATTCGTTTTTTTATCGCTTTATACTGGCCATTGAGACAGATTTTCGTTATCAGCCATCAGTAAAAAACAAGGGGAGCGTAGATGATAAAGTTTATTTTATTCTTCGTCGGTCTAGTGCAACTTCAACTTAGTTGAGAACGCTCGTTACTCGAAACTTTTATATTGAGTAAACTGCTACTCAGTTTTTTAAATGTTTTTCGGTCAATACATATATTCAGCATACTAGAAATTATTAATAATGACCCTTAACGAAGTCTGCTTGGGCTGCCTGTGGTCGTAAAAAGTGTAGTAACTACCTTACCAAAATGTAATCCAAGGGCGGGGTGCAAGTTCACCCGTTGCTATATGGTTTTACAAAACAGAATGCACGTGTGGAGTGCACGTGTGCCTATGGCTACATGATTTTATCGTGCGGAATGAACGTGCAGGGATTTGCTCACAGTCAATTGGGTATCGTTGCGTTCCTTCCGTTTCTACTAGTGTCTCTATAACAGAAACGTTTAGATGTGTAACAACCCATTAATTTTATTATGTCATGGGAAATTTTAACGAGAAAATATTTAGCTCATAAAGCGGTCGAAAATCTCTTTGAGGTTGTCTTTTCGAGTCTCAGTAGCAGCCGGTCAATTTTTTTTCAATTGGCTAAATTACCAGTAATGCGATGGATTTCTTTCTTTTTTTATTCAAAGAGCACACGGAACGTTCCCAATCAAACTATCGTAAATATATCTATAAGTATATAACTACCGTGACATCTTGGTCTCGCAAGGTAGGTGTATTTCCCTTGAAAAATACGATTCGCGCTATTACGTAACAACAATGACTGTGAATTATAAGGCTTTCGTGACTTCTTCGCGAGACGCTTCAGATCTTTATCTTACATGTAAATTCAATCAGTTTTTGGTTTTGTTTGTTTGAACTCTCAATACTCTTTATGGCGCTTGAGCGTTGTACTCACCAACATTTACCTCTCTTAGAAAACTATAATCTATCAGATTCGGAAGGTTGGTAGATACCTATCAGGAATTTTAATACGTAATATCAATAACATAGGTCAGCCAAAGTACATCAAAACATTAACATTTCTTTCGTGATGTGGAGATGTTATGGCTTCGTAACGGGAAATCAAAATTTACATTTTTTCCTCAAACACGATGGTCAGTGTTATGATAGTTTTCTGCTCCTAATTTGCGCTTTTAGGGCTGGAATGGTTATTTTCCAACCCGTTGGGCGATTAATTGTGAACTGCTTGACAGAAGAGTAAACAATGCGGCGAAACCGGAGAAACTGTCATCAATCGCGCGATTTCCGGGAGAGTAGAATTTCAGGAAGGTGATATGTTCGGAGTGCGCATGCACCCATTTCAACTAGATGATTCATGATGAATGCACGTGCGGAGTGCACGTGTGCCCAGTAAGTAAACCGGAAATATTACTGCTTCCTGAGAATCATACAAACCGCTATTTTACGTAACGATAATGAATGTGGATCATACGGGCTTTGTAAGGATCTTGAGGAGACTTCTTCGCGAGACGCTGCGAATCAAGAATTATTTCTTGGGATTCGTCTTTACTCTTCACAGAGTAAGTGATGTAAGTCATCATACAATCCATTTTGTGCCTCGCGAATATTGAATCGTCGCTATGAATTTCGAACGAAAATATAAATTACGGTTCAAAGCTGCAATAACTATTGTACAGTTATATTAATGTTGGGCGAACAACGCTCGAGTGTGGCGCTCACGCAAGGCGTTTCTTGTGACGTCCGTTTACAGCATGTTTCAGTTAATGTTCACTTCCGTAACAAGCTAAACTTAGGCACACAAATGCGTATGTATGCTTTTCAATATTAGCTGTAATCATTCCCAGAAGAAGTCTCAGCTAGAGACGAAACGCGTCGGAAAAGTTACAACAACGAGAACTTTACCTTTGTACTTCTCACTAGCCTCCGTTAGAAAAAAAATCAAAAAAGATAAATCTTGTAAATTGCCACAATCTGGAGGAAGAGTTTCGTTCAAGAAACCAGATGAAGACCTCCAAAAATACGCGACAACGCTTTGCACCTAAGTCACGCTCGCTCCGGAATCGATGGGCCTGAGGTCAAAGTGATATACACCGTATAAAAACTTTCGTTAAATCCTTTTCGGCTTGAACTAAAAAATACTTCTTTAAATATTGGGTTCGATATTGGCTGAGAGGAAAAATTTTTTTATTAGCTGTTCTTCATGGCGTGTAGTTTACCCGTAGCTCTGACAATCTGTCGATCTGTCGCGTTTCGATTATTCCACCTTTTGGGAGAAATGATATCCCATTACGAATTTCATATTCTCTTAATGGTGGCTGATAACAGAATGGAACAAATCCTTTTTTCCGCTCGTAAATTGCGACAGCAGCTGGAAAGCGAGGGCGATGTTGTTTCAGGTATTATCGTGACCCTTTCACTATACACACGTATGACGTATCACATCACGTGTCCTGGATTGGAACATTTTCAAAATGGCCGTCAATTAATCATCAGAAAAAATAATATATTGATTCTGCGCAAAATATCGTTTATTTGCTCATTTAGGATTCTTCAACCCAAGATGAATGTACTTAATTTTGTACTGTTTTTAGTTTTCTTTTTTATTTATTGATTTTTTTTGTTAAAAGTAATTATTTTTAGCGTATCGAGTGGTATGTTGCTCGTAACAATCAGATCGCAGCATATTAGGGTACGTATCTCACACCAATCAGATCGCCGCATTAGGGTATGTATCTCTCACCCATCAGATCGCCGCGTAGAGTATGTATCTCGCACCTGTCAGATCACAGCATTAGGTATGCTTGCACCAATTAGAGTATTGTCATGTATGCCAATCATGTTTAGCCTAAGTTTCTAAAAATTGGACCGTGACGACATGTTTCACGACGTCTGATTTTTGCCTTGTTTTACAACATGGCACAGTTTTTGCGTTCCATTATCCTAATATGGTAAAATGGTTTAATAATGGAAAATATCGGGTGTCTCGAAAACCTATGGACCTATGACCTTGATAACTAAGACCTTGACACCTTGGCGCATTGAGGAACTGAAAAGTACACGAGGTCAGCTCTCCCTGTTGGGATTAGTTGGTTTTGAGACGAAAAGTGTAATAAGTATGGCATTATTGTTTACATTGATTTAATTGGTGTTCTATAGCTACCGCTGTAAACTATACAAAGATGTCGAAATGTAAAACAAGACATAATTCACAGATCCATATGGGCCCATGGAAAACGCTGGAGAACAATTCCGGATGGCATCCAGATAGCTATCGATCGTGGCTTGTTTGTGCGGCATCTCTGTTATCCGTTGTTGTGGTTTCGGGGATTGCTTTCAGTTATGGTTTACTCCTGCCATCCTTGATGGATGCTTTTGAAGGTACTCGACAAGAAACAGGTAAGTTACAAGAGTAACATCAATTTCGCGTTTAAAATAATTACGAAAAAGGAACAAATATGTACACGGCACTAACATTCATCAAGATGATGCGGTAGAATGCACATGTACCCATAGCCACGTGGTTTTATTTTTCAACAAGATGATGCGTGCGGAATGCACGTGCAGAGAAATTCGAAGCTTTGCTCTCCTCTCGTTTTGGGGCTTGCATTCAGTTATGGTTTACGCCTAGCGTCCATAAGTGTGCTTTTGAAGCTACTCGAGAAGAAACAGGTACTTAGCAAGAACACAAAATATCGATTTCGCGTCTGAAATAATGATGATAATAATAATAATAATAATAATAATAATAATAATAAAAAATAAGTGAAGGGCACTTACATTCAAGATCCATCAGTCAACACTGAACCAGTGCCAAGAGACCATTTACCCATCCTCTCTCGCCCAGGGTCGTTTTAAAGGGCGAACCGACGAGGCATGCAAGGTATGCTAGCCATGCGAGCCATCGCAAAATGTATTTTATGAAAACCTTTTTCCTCGTGGAAATATATGAAAAATGTTATATTTCGTTATTGTTCCGCAGCAAGAAAATGCATACAGAGTAACAGTCGTCATGCGACGTTGTATCACGGCCGCTGATATTTATTGGGTCAAACGAATTACTCTCCCCTTCTTGGATGGATTTTTCTCTCCTTAGCTGTGTTCTTACCTGGTGTTTTTTTTTTTTTTTTTGCGGAATCAAGCCTTTTATTCTTTTTCGATCTTTGTTGTGGGAATCGAGCATCCTTGTCGCTTGTTCCTCTTAACGCTTTTTCCGCTGTCGACTTTGGAGCATTTTGCAGCATTGATGATGCATATACGATCATGTATAATTAAAACCTCTTTTGATAATTAAGTTCATTGCCAGCTATTATTATATTGACATTAAGAGAAATTTGTAGAACATGACAGGAATTGCTGTAATTCACCATGAGTACGTAAAATACGATAAAATACAGTTTATATTATGTTGAAAAAATAGCAATGGTCTTTTAGTTACCTAGAAATCCTTAGGTTTTTTATGGTAACATAAAAAACATAAGGACTATTGTTGCATTGTCGTACGTTCATTACAGTTGGTTTTTCAGTGAATTTAGTTGTTTCTATAATTTGACTTCACACCTTGCACCATGTCTTGCATGCCTCGTACGCCTCGCCGCCTCGCGTATTGGTGAGGGTGACACTATTGCCGACAATAATTCTTAATGTTTAGCGTTTCTTTCCATTTACTCTACTATAAACTGATGTTCGTCCTTTTCGTTGCGTTGCAGCATGGATTGGCACATTGTACGTGGGGCTCTCTTATCTCGTAGCTCCATTATCTGCTCACATCAATGATCGTTATAGCTACAGGTTTGCCGCTATTCTGGGATCCCTCTTAGGAATTATTGGTTTTATCTTTGCTTCATGGAGTTCCGATCTGTGGATGATGTTTTTAACATTTGGCTTAATGTCTGGTATTGGGCATGGATTGATTTTCAATACTTCCGTTTTGGTGATCCTGCAGCATTTCGTGAAATGGCGTTCAGTAGCTGTCGGTATTGTGGCTTCAGGGCCAGCTATTGGCATGTTTGTCTTCTCCCAAATCACTCGATTGTTATTAAACACGTTTGGATGGCCGGGGGCAATGATAGGATACGCCATCTTGTACTTTGTATGCGGATTGTGTGCCACTATGTTCGTGACACTTAAGACATTTAAGGAAGACAACAGCGACATCAATTCTCATGGAATAAAACGTGAAGAGTCAAAAACATCATCTCCCCTCAGAAATCGTCATTTTCTGATTATGTTTTCTTCATTTGTGATCATTCACTTTAGTTATTATGTTCCCACTATACACATAGTAAGTATCAATTTGATGTTTTGGTTGATAGACAGACTGGCTATACTGAATTGCAGTCTTATCACGTTATGATACTTCATCCTAGCCGAGACAGTCGCCTTGCGTAGAGAGAGAAATAAAGAAACTTACGGAGATGTGGAAGTTTGTGTAGTCAGAAATGCTTGTCGGATAAACATAAACGAAACAGATAGTAAGACTGAGAAGGGACGACAGACAGCTAAACAAGAAGGGTGATCCGTTGCGCAGATAAAAGTCGTGGTAAAAAGACAAGAGGAGGGCAAAGAAACTTGTTGTTGTCAAGTTACTCTCTACTGCGAAATTTAAACCAGACAGGCAGATAGACAGAGTGACAAACGGTTATTTGGACATTCTGCCTGAAGGAAAGACAACGGGTCATGCAGACGGCATGACGGGTAGGGAGGCAAGAGGTACTAAGGTAATCACGTTTGCTGGAAGACAGTAAGACAGACAGACGAACACACGTGCAGAGAGACAGACAGTTGGAAAACACGTAGGTAGGCATGATGACAGGTTGTCGGGCGGTAGGCAGGCAGACAGGCAGACAGGCAGACAGGCAGGGAGACAGAGACAGTGGGACATGTAGGCAGACAGTCGGGTATGTGGGCTGACAGAGACAGTCAGGCGGGCAGGCAAGCAGACAGAGACAGTCCGGCAGGCAGGCAGACAGAGAAAGTCAGCAAATAAGCAAGTAAACGGGTGGGCGGTTAGGCATAGACACGTAGATGAAAAAATTAATTCGGGATGGAAGACTGATCGAAATACAAACTTTCAGAAATATACGGGGATGGTTCGCAGATGAACTGATTTATCATGAAATTAGCGCCATGCAGGTTTCATGATGCTCCGATCCGATCCAAAATATGAAACATGAATAAAGACTGAAGTAACTTTTGATGGGCCCTTTATTTTTTTCGTTCTCCAGGCAAAATACTGCGTAGAAGAACTCGCGATGTCCGGAGAAAGTGTTTCCTTGTTATACACTTACATGGCCGTAGCTTCCTTTATCAGTCGCCATCTTTTCTGCAAATTGGGAGACTTTCCATACTTCAATAGATTCTATCTTTATCAGGGGGGCATGACCATCAGTGGGCTATGTATCATAAGTATTCCTGTAGCAAGGTCATTTGTGACCATACTGATACCATTAATGGGATTTGCTCTCATGGATGGATCACTGGCGGGGCAACAGTCTCTGCTTGTCTTGGAATGTGTGGGACATCACAATGTGAACCATGCGTGGGGTTATATAATGCTTTTTGCAGGAATTAGCGCTAGTGTTGGACCTCCTTCGGTCGGTAAGTTGAATTTAATGTTGCAATTACAGGTCATGGATTGGAGACTGTCTCTATTTAACTCCCACCACAAACAATCCACTCATTTTTATCTAGTGCGCTTATGGAATGACGTTTTTCTGATAGGTCTCATGGCTGACATGCTTGGCTCTTACACTATCCCATTTTATACTGCGGGCGTGGTGCTGATAGTAGGGGCCTCCATCACATCACTGATGACTTGTGTAAATCAACAATCCGAAGAAATTGACGCCCACATCGTTCAGTCAGAAGTGGAAGAACCTTCGGTTGCAGAAAAAATAACTGTATTGTAGAAATGACATTTTTTTTTGTCTTTAGTTTTCCTACGTTTTGATCGGTTGCTTTAATTAAGACTTGAAATGATACTAGTTGCTTTGTTTAACTGTTCTGTCCTCGTTATCTCCTAAAAATGCAATTTATAGCAATTTATATCCTGAGAATGAAAGATAATGGATATCGTAGAAAAAAGGTTAGAGCTGAGGGTGAATCAGGTCATTTAGAACACAGGACTGTTGTTCAGTCGTTCATGATATAAACAGCGAATTGCTCTGTATTCTAGTCAATCTCAATAAATTGTGGGTATGTAGCCTTTCTTTGTCCTCATGATCTAAAAGCAATTATCACGGAGGCGTGGATCAAAGCAGGAATATTTGGCAGCTTCCATCCGAAGCGATAACATTCAGCTTTAACAGAAGCGGTTACATGGCGGTTACTAAGCTCGTTTTATTCTACATCGGCTTGGAGCAACTTCACCTTTGTTTAGAACACCTTGTACTTGAATTTTTCATACCGGACTGTCACTTCAGTTTTTGAAAGTTCTTCCGGCAATACATATATGCAGCATATCAGAAATTACTAGTAATGACCCTTCCTGTGATCGTTAAAATGGTGTGACTAAAGTAGCAAAATATACGAAAATGAATGGAATGCACGTGCTGAGTGCACGTGGATTCATACCAAAAATAGTTTGTTTCAAGAAGATGATGCGTGCGGGATGCACGTGAGAAGTGCACGTGCGCCCATAGCTACATGATTTTACCACAGTCGAACATGTATCAAGCGATACCGTATTTAGCGGGCACCGTGTATTATGCGGTCGGTTGTCGAAGATCCGAATTTATTCCCTTTATTTTTAGTTACTGCATTTTTCACCTCTGGTAAGCGGTCGTGGTCCCAATGGTCTCTTTCTGTTTATCCCTGTATTAAACAGTCACTTCGAGTAAAACCACTCAAATTCACCTAAGAACAACCTTTCAAGTAAAATTAGATTCATTTTTATCTCCCGAAATTTATACTTGTAAACATTTTTAGTGAATTTTGCACGCCAAGAGGTCAATTATGGAATGAAATGGCATTTTTCATAACGATCCTATTCTGTAGAGCCCGCAGTGATTCCCTGGGTGACCGCTCAGCTGTATTACAACAAGATGGTCCGTGCAGAATGCACGTGTGGGGTTCACGTGCGCCCCTAGCTGGGGAATGCACGTGCAGAGAAAGTCGTAACTTGTTCCGGCGTTTGTTGTGATTCCATCGTGTTCTAGGAGGTTAATTGACGCCATGACAAATACCAATACACAGGGACCCACACGAACAATGTGACCGTTTGTGTATTTTGAAAGGGAGTCTTAAAGAGTTGTCATCATTGTATTAAATCACGACGAGGAATCTCCATTTTCATCCAGATAAGCGCAATGTTACATGAATTGTGTATTGACTTTGCTGTAGCTGAAGACCGCGAATTTGGAGATTCTACGGATTTTTTGTTTGCGGTTGCGTTTAAGGGTACTAGAAATATCACCGGTTCACACTCAGTCGTCGATGAGGAAAACGCTATCCTGATAAACGTTTAGGCGAGTAACAATCTGCTTAACTCTGATTTATTGAAAAAAGGTTTTAAACAGCACACTTAACGAGAAAAACACTTTAATTAGGCTGTTATGTAACCTATTGACCCCTATGAGTGACTAACATCGAAAGTAATCTCTAATTCACGTGTCAAAGTCAGGAAAATAAAAAATTATCACCTATCATAGAAGCTCATGATTGCTATACACATTCTCCTTGTCATCACCTTAGGAAATATTTAGAGAACAGTATAGAGAATATGCCTACTGATGTTAGGGTGTCAGTTAAAAAGTTATTGAGGGACCGTTGATTTGATCCATTCTAAAATTCTCCGCCCCCTCGCTCGCCAGGGGATGAATAACGATTGGTCCCTAACCGCGGTTTGACCACTTTGCCTTTATAGCTATTCTCCTTTTGGTTTTTGTTGCGTCACTTTGAAACCGAAAATATCACCGTTCCTCATCAGGCCTGTTTCTCATTAAGTCGGTGCGGGTATTTATAACACGCTGTCCAATTCTATCTGGATTCAACTTGGTTACTCAACTTATGTCAAGTAAGTGACGATATAACATTTTCACTCCAAGGAAAATTTCAATCGGGGAATAATTTAAATATAAACTGGACTAAAAACATTTTTTTTTAAGATCGTGTTTTTGTGACAAGCTGCCGGTCAGAATTTCCACAAGAGCAAAATACCGGCAGAGTGATTTCGATCTTATTCTACTTTTTTTTTTTTGGTTTTTTTTTTTTTTTTTTTGACGAATGCAAGGAATGAATCCCCAAACTATTGTACATCTATTAAGAAGTACTATAAGATCGTAAATAGCCTCGAAATTCTCGACTATTGCTTAGTGGGGCTCGCTTGTTGTGTGACAGTTCCACGATTATATATTCTGGGTCGACTTCCGGTTACTCGTGGCTTGCAGTATTTTACCCAAATGGCAATACATGCGAAACAGGGTTGTCGCATCCGTCTTGAGGGGAATTGAAGAAAAAAGGCAACAGATCGTCAATGGACTTTTTTTTTAATTCTTTCGGCTATAGCTTTGTTTATATATATATATATATGTAAATATAGAATCCCCTGATGAGAGAGTAATCACGAAACAGGCTTGTAAGAACGAAAGCATATTCTCTTTATTTTTTCCCTATCTCAAAAATATATATATATATATATATATATATATATATATATATATATATATATATATATGTATTTAAAGACACCGTCAATTGTACAGTCAGCGATCTCGTTCCAAAAGATATCGATATCTCTTTTAAGCCATAGTTATATAACTAGAAATTGATAACTTAAACTCGATGATATAACATATCATTCGCGTGGATATTTTGCTAGTTACGTAATATTTATCGATCTTCGTAGGGGGGCGAGGTAAATAACGATTAATAAGCAAAACTTCCGCTCGTAATATATGGAAACCATCAGTAAAGTTTTTATTTCTAGTGTTTATTTTGGCTTCTAGCCTTCGAAATACTTTTCAATTCTGAGCATCGTATCGATGGCGTAAGGCTGTGAAAACAGGTTTTTTGCCCTTGCAAATAACAGGATGGACGTGGAAAACTCAAATAAACTCTTACTGAAATGGCTCTTCCTGGGGAATACTCGCAGGCAGCGCGAAGGTTGGAATCTGTTGCGGCTGTTGACTACCCTTGAGACAAAATAGTCTCGCAGTAAACTTCGCTTCAATCACGTTTTAATCCTCGGTCTTGGTATGTCCAGATACACCAAAGTACTTACCCAAGATACTTTACAACGCAGTTCTATTTAAGCCTAAATTACAACGGATTAGGTAATGGTATTAATTATCTCAGTAAAGGAATACAAGGTTAAGCTTGAATTATCTGAGACATTTTTATAGCTACAATTGGCTAGAAAGGAATTTCGCCTCTTACAAGATTTATCACTTTCAAAACAGCACAGGTAGATAACAACTAAAGAAAAGTCTAGGACAGGTAACGGTTAAAGTTTAACTATAATTACAGATATAGCAACAACAACAGGTAGTATTTACGCTTTGCTGAGCTTAGCAAAAGTTCCATGTTGAATTTATGTTTTTCAATAGCGTAAGTCCAGTAAAATTAACAACTGAAACTCCTCTTGTTACAAAGTGTGTGCAAAAGAACAGAACAGCAAAAATTAAACAAATTAAACGTTCTTCAAAACGAACAAAAAGATCCGATGCTCTTAAATGCTCGTTGCTTAAAATTCATTCTCAAAGAAAGAAGAAAATCAGAGTTTGGGTCTTTCATAGCAACCATTTCCTTGCTCTGCTCTCCGTCCGTATTTTTACCGTCTATTATTTAAGCAAGAGACCACTCTCACTATGGGTTTACCGGCGTAATAACCCACGTGGGAAGTTGGTTGAACAAACTTATCGGCCTCGTGATGATTCGACGGTGTTCATTGATTACTGATTTTGGTTAAACAATACGATAAGTGTAAAGCTTGCGACATGATTCTTTCCTGAATTTCATTTAATAGTCTCCTAGAGCTACTACATACACTTTACAAAGATGTCGAAATGCTTAACAAGACAAAGTGTAGTCCGATCGGACGTAGGGAAAGCATTGGAAAACAATTCAAGATGGTACCAGGACTGCTGTCGATCGTGGTTTGTTTGTGCAGCATCACTGATGTCAGTTATTGTTGTTTCCGGGATTGCATTTAGTTATGGTTTACTGTTACCGTCTTTGATGGATGCGTTTGAGGCTTCCCGACAAGAAACAGGTAAGTGGCAAAGGTATAAAACATCAGCTTTATCCGTCTTGAATAGAACATGTGTCCAGCACCCATCACCCAACACTGACCAAATAACAACAACGACAACATTGACCGACCGATCATACTTTTTAATCTTCTATACTGTTAAACGACAAAATCAAAACAGATCTTACCTTAAAGCATTGTAAGAGCTTCATTACCACGGTGTTGGAAATATGAATGGAAATAACATATTAGCATAAGCCATTCAGTTAAAAAAAAATATTGTAAGAAGTTGATGATTTCCTATTTAGATGGCGGTCTTACTTTGTAAGTAGAGTGATTGTTATATTTTTTTCTGCGAGAAAATGGTCCATTTAACTCCACAAAAGTTTGTTAGTGCTTATGGCATATTATCCCATCGCGAGTTTGACATCAGTTTCTACGATGATTAAAACTTGCCGTGAAGCATTTCAATTATCTTGCGGTAAGATATATTTCAATCGGCGCTTGATGAGTAGGAGAGTCGTTTGATCTGCTAAAAAAATTAATCTCGCGCATGAATTCCTGGAAATTCTTACTTCTTATACTTTCGATTCTTTACAGGTTTGTTTTTATGTTAATTTCATATCGAACTCTCGATCAAGAAAGTAATTCTTAATTTTTTTAATTTAGCACGTTCAACACCTCTTTCTGTAAGGCGATTTAAGGTGTAAATAACTTGTACTTTTCATTCCGCACTGAATTTATAATCAGTTGACTTATATGAACGGCTCGAATAATTCTCTGTTTATTTTGTTGTTATGTAACAGACTTCAAGGGCTACTTTCTATTTAGTTATCTTTTAAGTGTAATTCTAATCTAAGCAACGGTTTCTTTATAATTTCTACATTACCAATCTTGTTTTTGTTTTGGCTGATCTTACCGCAAAAGTATGAAATTTTAGGTGGAAATTTGTTTTCGAATGAGTCAACAAACCAATGGTACATTACTTAGTATGCGGGAACTGTTTCACGTAATTCAATGTGATTCGCTGGTGAAGTAAGACGTTGGTCAAATATTAATAGCTTGCCAATTGTCGCCTTTATGAGCTGAAAACCAACATGTTCCTGTAGTTGTTGCGTTATACCCCGAGCTAGCAAGTTGTTTTGAGTTTTTAAGAAAAGAAATAAAGAAAGTATGAACTGTACAAGGAGTGTTAGAAATTTTTCCAACAATACACTAACTTTCAGCCTTTTGCATTGCAGCGTGGATTGGTACATTGTATGTAGGATTCGCCTTTCTTGTTGCTCCGTTATCTTCTTACATCAATGATCGTTTCAGCTACAGGTTTACCGCCATTCTAGGATCCCTCTCAGGAATTATTGGTTTCATCTTTGCTTCATGGAGTTCCCATCTGTGGATGATGTATCTAACATTTGGTTTAATGTCTGGGATTGGGCATGGGTTGATTTTCAGTACTTGTAATTTGGTGATTCTGCAGCACTTCGTAAAATGGCGGTCAGTAGTTGTTGGTATTGTTGCTTCCGGGCCAGCCATTGGCATGTTTGTCGTTTCCCAAATCACTGACGTGTTCCTTAGTACGTTTGGATGGCCGGGGACAATGAGGGGATACGCCATCTTGTTTTTTTTTTGCGGATTGTGTGCAACTGTGTTCATACCTCGGGAACAGTTTGAAGAAGACAACAGCGAATTTAAGTCTCAGAAACTCGGAATCGAACACGGAGAATCAACCACTTCACCTCTATTCAGAAACAGCAATTTTCTGATTTTGCTTACTTCTTTCGCTGTTGTTAACATGAGTTTTTTTGTTCCCTCTATACACATAGTAAGTATCAGTTTGATATTTTTGTTTAGTTGACTTGCACCTCATTACTTCATGATAACCTGATAGCGGGCAGGTAGGTGCACAGACGTGCAAACAAAAAATCATTCAGGGACACAGACCGAAATGTAAGCTTTCAGAAAAGGTGCTTACTAACTGATTCATCTCGAAACAGGCAACACTTCTTTTGTGCTTTTCCGATCCCTACTCATGAGCCGTTAATGGAGAAGACGTAGTTTCCACTTCTGACCAGCCTTTTTATCATTTTAATTATTCTTCAGGCAAAATACTGTGTGCAGGAACTCCATATGTCCGAAAAGCATGTTTCCATGTTATATACATATATGGCTGTGGCATCCTTTATCAGTCGACATATTTTCTGCAAATTGGGAGACTTTCCGTACGTTAATAGATTCTATCTTTATCAAGTTGGAATGACTATCAGTGGACTATGTATCTTATGCATTCCAGTAGCAAGGTCGTTTGTTTCCATACTGATGCCATTAATTGGGTTTAGACTCATGGATGGAGCAATGGCGGGGCAACAGTCTCTGCTAGTGTTGGAATGCGTGGGACATCAAAAAGTAAACCGCGCGTGGGGTTATATTATGCTTTTTGCAGGGATCAGCGCCACTATTGGACCTCCGTTAATCGGTAAGTTCGAGCCAAAGGTTGCAATCAGTTTTCACGGATACGAGATTGTTTCAATGAAACTTGTATCATTGACCACCCACCCACTCGTACATGCTTATGTAATAACTTTTTGATATTTTCCAATTTGTGATAGGTCTCATGGCTGACGAGCTTGGCTCGTACACTATCCCATTTTTCACTGCGGGTGCGGTGCTGATAGCAGGGGCCTCAATCACTCAGCTGATGACCTGTGTAAAACAAAAATCAGGAGAAAGTGACGGTCGCATTGTTAAGTCAGCCGTTGAAGAGCTTTTAATCATGGAAAAAGTTACTGTATTGTAAGAACTGATGAACACTTCTGAAGCAACAGTGACCACGAAAATATCTGATTTCACTTATGAGTTATTCAGTCAGGTCGTTTAGCGAAAGTGACTTTTTTTTCTTAAAATTAAATTAGATCGGCTACTTTTTATGTGCCCTAAAATAATACTGGTTACTTTGTATCAGGGACCAGCCATTTTTTATCGTTAGGAGGTAAATCTTATAAATTATCGCGTAAAATAAATTACCTTGAAAAAATATTTTCGTGAAAACCATCAATTCTAATCAACGAAATCACCATCAAAGACAAGTAGATGCTCATTTGCTTGTGCCCAGGCGCTAGTAATGATTTAGGGACCACTAATAAAAATTTCTGTCAAACCAACATATACCCGGTATACTTTTCATGACTTCATCGAATCATATCTCAAGGACCACGAGAACTGGGGTCGCTGCAGCTCCCGTCTTGATTCTTGAAACGCCTAAGAAATGGTGCCCCTTGTTTTTCTCTCCTCTCCCCATCAATTCGTTCTGCTTTGATCCATCGAAATGCCCATCAGAGAAGATCATCCAGAACACGGGATCCCTTGGACAGTCATTCATGTTATCACCGGCATATTTTTCTGTATCCTTGTCAACCTCGATGAATTGCGCGTAAGTAACCTTGATTCAGCCATTTTTCTTGGCATCATTCTCGGAGTTTTTGGATTTGCCGTTCTCATTTTCCTCATCTCCTTTCATGACTTGAGTAGTCGCATTGCTTCCGGGCGTTATTTTGATTCACCATCAGTTTACCGATTTGTGTTGAACCTAACAATAAACTTTTAAATGATCCAGCGTTTGTAAACAAAATAGCGTTGAGGGGGGAGGGGATAGATAATTGAGCTCATTTTACTTTAAGATATGCGAAGCGTAAGAAGGAGTAATGAGAGGGGTTCAATATGTGTTCAAATTTCGTGACGTTGGCAGGGCTTTAGGAGTTTGAGGAGCATGCATCTTATTAAAAATGACGGGCCGATTGCCAATATGGCAAGTCAATTGGGAAGACTTTTAATTTATGGAGATTACGGCTTATTTTTTCTCTGGACGTGTTCCGTGGTATAACCCAGTGATCAAAACTTAACCCATTTACGATTCCCTCTAAATATCCTCTTAAATCTTAAGGTGGGAACGAATTTAATATCAAGTTTACTTTGCAACCCGATGCCTGCTCCAGCGAAATGAACAATAATGTTCTACAAACTGCATCTAATGAAACGAATTAAAGCTGTTAAATACAAATCCATGAAAACAGCGTGAACACTTGAATACATGTGGTTTGCATATTTTTTACACATGCGTCGTCGTGGATTATGACCCGTCGTTTAAAAGTTAACCCTAAAACGAAAAGTTTCTATTCTTTTTCTTAAAACGATAAGAAATTACGGCAATTTTTCTTTACTTTTACCATTATTTCAGGTACATTCTCTCTATTGTTTGTCTTTGCCAACAAAGGGTGGCAATGTAATCATGTTTCACAAGAAAAAGTTTCTTTCAATACCGTCATCATCATAATCCTCATCAAAGGTTTATTCTTTCCTTTGCCTGTTTTCTCCGCCATTTAACCTAAAGTGTGGTTATTCTTTCAGTTACTAAAAGTTCTTCCTTGTAAAATTGCACCTCTTTTTCTTCTTCAAAGTCAGCATGTTGCTTTACAAACGGCATCAGTGAGATGATTGACGCGCCTGTTATCAGCACCACACCCGAAGTGTAAAATGGGATAGTGTAGGAGCCAAGCTTGTCTGCCATTAGACCTAAACACAAAAAGTAATGCAAAATTAAGCCTTGTGCTCCCGATATTTTGGCAGTTTACAAACGATAGAGCACATTCTACTGAATGAATGTGAATTTAGAAACGATATTCGCAGTAATGAACACTTCTTATGTAGTAGTGAAAATAAATAATTTTAAGGCATTTATTCATCAATTCACGGGTTTATTACGAACTAACGTAATGACCAGCTCCCAGTTGGCTTGTTAGCTCAGTTAATAGGGCACTGCACCGATATCGCAGAGGTCATGGGTTCAAATCCTCTACAGCCCTAGATTTTTTTAGGCCTCATTTTCAGTACTGCTTAAGTAGTGTTCATTACTGGGAAGATCGCTTCCAAATTCATTTCTTAAACCTCATTCACATATATGATTTTCAGATATTTACCGCCGTGTAAAAGAAAAATTGAACTATATGAAACAGGTAATTAGAGGGGAAAAATTGTCAGAACGAGTCTATTAGAACGCAAAGCGAAAACAACGATTCTCTTAAAGGAAAAGAGAGGAAAAGAAAAATTATACATCAACCAATCAACGTTTAAACATTAATTCACTTGGGATTTATCGTCATACCCACGATAAGCAAAACAAATTTCTTAGAATCAGAGAAGCTCACCAGCCAATGGTGGTCCAATGGATATAGTAATGCCCATGAAGAAGTTCAAGTAGCCCCAAGCTTGATTGAATTGGCGTTGTTTGACGCATTTTAAAAGTAGGAGAGAGAATTGACCCATTGAAGATCCCTCCATGAGGCCGAGGACTGTAAAAATCGCTACCAAAGATTCATATGACGTTGCTAATGGAAGACATATGACACACAATCCGCTGATTGTCATACCTCCCTGGTACATATGGAACCTGTTGAAGTGACGAAACTCTCCAAGTTTGCAAAATAAATGGCGACTGAAGAAGGACGTTGTCGCCAAATATATGAATAACATAGAAGCTCTGTCTCCAGATATGTTCAGTTCTTGTTCGCAGTGCTTAATCTACGGAGAAATATGCAGTGGTTTAGTTTTAACTAACTCATTCTAAGCCCGATGGGTCGGTTTTAGTTTAAACGCGATAAGTGTTTAGCAGCAGGAGAGTTACAGCCACACAATAAATTGGGCGCGCCGCTTTCCCACTTTTCCAACGTGCACTTTTTGGTGGCTTGCGTTTCATGAAAATTTTATATTGATATTTGTGCAATAGAAATTTAATTTAATTAAATAATTTTTTTTCACTTTTCAACGCATTTTCGACCTTATTTGCGCAACTAACTACGACTAGGTAATGATATGATGGCACGACTTGGATTGCGCATGGGACTACTAGTAAACAGCTCCACGCTTAACTTTGATAGGACTTCACGTGTACACACCCGAACTTCAACCTCTTTAATTGAAACTGGTTCATTTAAAGATTTTTTTCACTCAGATGATTACACAATCACCAGTCTGGTGACCAACTGATATTTCTTTCTCTTTTTCTCTTATTCCTAGAAATTGTCACGTCCACTAGCTTTGAGAATCAACGGTAGTTTCATCAAAAAGGTTGTTGTTTTGATGACAAACGGCCAAATTTCAAGGACTGGCTAGAAACGCAATAAGTGTTTGGCACCAGGAGAGTTACAACCACAGAATAAGTTGGGCGCGTCGCTTTTCCACTTTTAAAAGTGGGAATGGTTGAAAAGTGGCCAAAATTTTCTTCTGTCCATTCATTACAGCTCGAGTATTAAAAACAATTAGTGGCGTATAATAATACTTACGATGTGTACGGCTGGAACAAAGAAGCTTATATTAACAACCATGAATGAAGACAACAGGACGAGAAAAGGACGATTTCCAAAGAGAGATGAATTTTCTTTCTCCTCTGCTTTTTCATCCGCAGCCATGCCACCCTTGTTATTCTCTGAGCGGTCCACTGGTACAAAAACAAGCGAACACAAACCGCATAGCAAATAGAAACCTGCAAACCCTTGTAGCGTGCCTTGCCATCCAATTGTATCCAGCAAGCCTTGGGTGACTTGAGTCATAACAAGCATGCCTATGGCTGTCGCGGACGTCATTATACCAACGGCCAAAGAGAGCCGTCTAACGAAGTAGTCCACGATGGCTACCATACAAGAGTTGTAAATCATCCTATGGCCAAAGCCTGACATGAGTCCATACGTCGGGTACATCATCCACAGTTTAGGAGACAAAGACGCCAGAGAAAATCCAATGACCCCTGTGAGGGCTCCCACCATGGCAGTGACCCTGTGGCTAAAGCGATCGCTGATCAGAGAACCCAGAGGACTTAAGACATAACCAAAAGCGAGGTTTAACGATCCGATCCAGGCTGAAAATGAATTTTATGTAGGTGCTTTTATGATCACATTGTGACTTTGAAATATGTAAAACTGCCGCAGAGGTAGGGTTCATGAATATATATATTCACCCCTTATATGCATTTCTAGGGGTCATGCATCTTCGGTTATCAGCTCATATGCCGAGTCACCTAATATTGAAATTAAAATTGTTGAATATTTTTTATGTTTCCATTACCTGTAGATTGCCTGGATGCTCCAAAGCTTTCCATCAGAGGAGGAAGGAGCAAGCCAAAGCTATAGCCGATCCCCGATACAATTATGACTAAAATGACTGAGGCCACGCACACTACCCACGACCAACAACTGTCCGGACGGCATGTAGGTTTTTTTTCTACTACCATCTGACTTTCTTGGCTGGAATCTTGAGCAGGTGAGTTCACCATGATTGTGTTTTCAATGTGCTTCAAAGAAATCATTCGTTTAGTTGATATATTTGATATAAACACAGAAACATTCTCGTTCACTGGTAAGAAGAAAGAGCTTAACTTGTCTAGGCAATTAAGCTTATTTTGGTGATTTCAGCTGAAGATTTTCTTCTCTGGTATTCTAGGTCGTTTTACCACTTGTCGAGTCAAGACGAGAAAATTTTCGGTAAAAAAACAATTTTTGTCCAGGCCTATTTTTTTTAGGCTTCTCGGTAATCTAAGAAATCTGAAAATTTAAAGTTGCTTTCAGCTATTTGTTGGTCTTCGATCGATTCAATCTCACTGCTTAAAGTAAATCGAAAAAAACATCTCATTGCATGAAAGGAAAATTTCAATTCAAGTCTTTAGACAGGAATCGGGGTGTCTTGTTGTTGTAATTACTTAATTTCACTCAAAGAACTATTTAAGCTGTCGCACATGCATGTACATTGAATAAGGAGTAACTTTTTCCAGTGAATGCCACTGAATTTGGCACTTGCAAGTTACATGCGCTCAGCCTGGAGATGTTCTTATAGCCCCTTGAGTTCGTTTTTGCCACATAGGTTCATCCAACTATAGTCAAACCTGCATTTAGCGGTCGTGGTCACCTTTGACTAAGTCCCAACTACCGACAGCAACTCTAGCTTCTTGTGTGCTTTCCAAACCTCCTAAGTGCATCTAAAACTCGATAAACGTAGACTACGAGCAGTCCCTTCTTTTCGGCGAAGTCCATTGCGCGAGTTCGAAAAAAGCAAAAGCGGCTCAAGCTCCCTTCTCGAGAAAAAGCAAACGATTAACTCATGAAAGCGTCTCGAAGTCTTACAACAGGAGTAACAGTGATGGCAAAACAAGCTTAAAACGGCAGAAATCGCCAGATACCACGGCGGACACATAGGATGTGAGTAAGTTTATTTTTATTACGAATTATTTATAGTTGTAAATCGACCGTATTTCGCCCCCAATACTATTCCTTATAACGTTTTCAAATTAACACTGAGTCACACAACGCGTGACGCTTTCATGAATTAATTTCTCGAGAAGTGAGCTTGGGCTGCCTGTGAAAAAGGCAGCGAAAAAATTTTTGTACGTGCGCCGCGAGAGCTTTACGAAACAAAGAGCTTTGATTGCTGTTGTGCTATCGCGTGCTGGTCACGCGCCTGTGTCGAAAGGAGGTTGCGTCTGCCAATATTTGCCAAACATAGCTCCACGTATCAAAAATAAAATTTAAAAAAAACTGCAACAACCAAACAAACAACAACGAAAAAAAAAGGAATGGTGAGCAAATTATAGTTGTTCCTCAAAATTCTCCTCCCAATAGTGTTCGTCAGATTGTCCCTTATCATAGAGTATCCATGCACGTGTCACAGCACGTGCATGAAGTTTCTACATCGCAATAGGCCATTTCGGAATTCCAATATTAGTACTTTTTCTTTCTGAATGAAACCAGAAGTTGAATATTTCTTGTGAGTTAAGTACTACGATCAGAACTCCCTTGAAAGAAAACTATGTCATTCGAACATTATCGCTACTAAAGGAGAAATTGAAATGTTGTTTCCTAAGGTCATCGACAAGGAGAGGAAAATTCAAAGGTCTTAATGATCGCTTACGTAATACGAATCTCTGGTGTAACAAACAAGTTATATGACATACCTCAGTTTCTATCGCTTTCCACCCTAAGAATGAACTATTAATAATTTTTATCGACTCGGAAATGAAAATTAATCTCGCTGCAGAGATTGATGATCGTTGAAGTTCACAGGAGGATCTAGCCTTTGAAGCGAACAACAACACTGTCATCAATGTGTTTTCCAGACGCTTCTTCAGTGTCCTGGGTCTGGTTATATCTTCCGTTCGAGTTCATATTGCAAAGTAGAGGCAACTCTCCTTGACAACCTACAATGTCAACACAGGCAGAAATCGCATTGGTGACGCACGGAATTGTAAACTGATAGACTGTGCTTTTTTCCTTTCCTATTTTTTTGGTGTTCGCTTTCGTTTTTGTCACAGTGCAAGGTCAGATGATGGTCGGAAGTACTTTAGGCCATCTGCAGCGATAGTCGTTTTCAATACAATGTAGCGAAGAAAAGCCATAATTTAAAATGCAAATCCGTGAAAAAACAAAGAAAAAAGTAAGAAGCGCAATGCGTTACGAGACGACACACTTTTTAGTGGAACATGTCCACAACCATAGCGTGTCTATGAATTAATCCTTTTCTATCAGAGCAAATTTCTTTTGAATTGTGTTTTGTCATAGGTAAGACAAAATACAAAATATAAAATTTGTCAAGTGGCCCCCATCAGCGAAATCTGTCCCATTTTTTAAGCTTTGTTAAGGGCTTCGTTTTATTGTTAGATTTTGACTAGTTTCCATTTACAGAATTTATTTCTAAGATTGTGCCAGTATTTATTGTGTGATTGTCTTATCTTTTATCTGCTTGTTCTTTTTTACGTTTATTTATGGCATGTTTTCAGGGAAAATGCATTAACTTCGCTAATGGATTTCCGTTTGTAAATGGCTCCTCTAGAAAAGTCGATGGATCATCATATTTCAGCCACGTTGCTGTATTTTTTGGTTGAGCTAATTCAAAAATGAAAGCAAAGATTTTGTTTAACAAATAGCGAAGCCTTGAATATGCTCTAAGCACGCAAGAAGAAGCTAGAGCACGAAATAAGTGTAGGAAGAAACATGAGACGTATCGAGTACTTCTCCCCACTTCTTGAATTGTGGTAACAAAACACGCATTTTTTTTTAACATGGCAATCGGAAATCAAACTACTCAAGGTGTATGAAAAAGTCGGACATGATACAATTTGGCAGATGGCGTGACAGCTTTAGCTCAGCTCTAAGCTTTGTACTCTCTTTAAGCTAAGCTTTACGGGCCCGTTAAGTAACCGGGACTTTCGAGAAACGGGCCCCCACCAGTGGGTCCCGTTTCTCGAAAGTTCCGTTAACTTATCGGTCGGGCCCAAAGCTACATTTTAAAATCAAAATCCAAAAATAGAAAGGCAGATGGTTATGGCACCCTAACCAGTCCATTTTGTTTGTTCAGCTGATAGTTTTATTGCATAATTTTCAAAACATTCTAAACCCCATCTTGAATGAAAACAGAACAGTTTTGCGGGCCCGTTAAGTTACTAGGTCCTTTGAGAAACGGGCCCCCAATGGGTCGATCGACGCGCCTGACTGAACGCCTGGAACAGGCTGGCATTTACTTTCTTTTTGTTTCACTTGCAGTTAGTATCAGTTGATTTCTATATTTCGTCGAGAAATTAGTGCAATCTTCAAACGCATGTGCTAAGTTTGCTCTTGGCAACAAAAATGATTTGAAAAAGTTCTAGGTTGTTCTTTCCATGGTCTCACGATGGATTCATTGCTCGAATCTATACCTAGACCATTTCTAAACGACTGTAAGCTTTTCTGTAACCAAAAGTTCTTCGTCAATGGATGCTTTTGTTTCGGCCTCTTCTGGTAATCCTCGTTTAACGCAAGTCATCAATGAAGTGACCGACGCCCCTGCGATTTGTATTGCCCCTGCCGTGTAAAATGGGGTGATGTACGAGCCGAGCTCGTCTGCCATCAGACCTGTTAGAAATGAGCAGATACATTGAGATAAAACAAATTTAAAAGTTCTGAGAATGCAGTACATGCGCAAGCTTGGTTTATGCATGCATGATCTTGTTCTCAACCGTGATGAAATTAAAAAACATTGCAGCAATAATCATTGTCAAATTCTTGCGAAAAATTTTTCATGGCTGTTCTGACGTGGTGTTTCATCTTGGTCAAAAGACTTATCAGATTCATTTCGGAATTTTCAGTTCGGAATGCCCCTATCTCGAAGGTAAAACAAGCTAGGACTCCTGAAGTAAGTTTGACTTTCTATCAGTCAGGCAAACAAATATTAAAGCCAGAACAATGGAGCTCACCAGCTAAGGGAGAACCGAGGCCAACGCTTAAACCGGAAAAGAGCATCATATATCCCCAAGCTCGGTTGACTTGGCGTCGTCCTGTGCATTCCAAAAGCAGCAAGGCATATTGGCCATTCATTGCTCCATCCATCAGTCCAAAAACTGTAAATATCGCTGCAATCGATCCAAACGATCTTGCCAATGGTAAGCAAAGTACACACAGCCCACTTATAGTCATACCCCCTTGATACAGATGGAATCTGTTCAGATACTTTAAGTCTCCCAACTTGCAAAATAGATGGCGGCTTATGAAGGACGTTATTCCCATGTAGGTATACAGCATGGAGGCTTTGTTTCCAGGTATGCGAAGCTCTTGTTTGCAATGCTTTACCTGAAGTCAGAACAAAGGAGAAGGAAAAGATGCAAAAGACGTTGGGAACACAGATTCACGAGATATTATCACCAGTCGCATTATCAGGATCGCGCTTCGTGCGGGAATAATGAGTTGGACTGAAGACTTTTTTTTTTAAAAAAATCGATTACGGACTTAAAAAATTGCAAAGGAAACTACAATGAGCTCGAGTACTCAGTTCAAGTTTCAGGTTGCGCCGCCCCGTGGGTTAAAAACTGACCATTTGATCTCTAGACATTTGGTGTTTAACGAACGAATATTCCCATATTTGACTGCCTTAATTTCTTTCCTCTTTCCTCTTTGCTTTAAGATGTCGAGATGTTGCAAGTAGAATAACCTTCTCGGTCTCTCATACGAGCGAAAGGACCAATGTGACAAGCTTTCAATTCATGATTTTTCGACTACTATAGCAATTTTCAACTGATATTTGATAATAAGCACATTGTTTATGCTATGCTACAATATATTGTTGGTTCAGTAAACTCCCGCCAACCTCTCAACCAATCAGATGCAAAACTCGTAGCAGTCGGTCACTTGTCACCTTGCCTGCGTTTTCCCGCGCTCAGGTAATTTCCTTCCTGTTACCTCGCACTGAGTACTAATTTGTAACTGGGATTAGTTTGGTTTAGGTTTTTAACAACGGTCAGCCGAAGAGTGACATAAAAAAATTTTTCAACTTAAAAAGGAGACGCGTACTTACTATGTGCATGATTGGTACGAAATAGCTGAAATGAACCACAGATAGTGACGTTGATATGATTACAAATGGATAGTTCTCGAGAAGCGAGCTTCGTTGACTTGCTGCTTCTTTCTTCCTCGACTTGCGAGTCGTAAATTCGCTGTCAGAGATTTCGTCGAGGCCATTATCGAGGGGTGCAAAGACAGTTGCACACAAGCCACAAATCAAATTTAGCAAACCGAACACTTTTATTGTCCATTGCCATCCCCACGTGTCTAATACAAACTGCGTGACCAGGGTGGTCACGAACATTCCAATGGCCGGTGCCGACGAAACAATACCGACAGCCACCGAGCGCCATTTGACAAAATAGAGAAGAACCATCAAGTAACAGGAGTTGTAAACCATCACATGCCCAATGCCTGATAAAACACCAAACGTTAGGTACATCATCCAAAGTTTTGAGGAAAACGAGGCAAGAAAGAACCCGACTACCCCGAGAAACGAACCCATGACGGCGGTGAACCTGTGACCAAAACGATCGCTGATGAAGCAACCTGCGGGGCTGAAGATGCAACCGCTCGCCATGTACAAAGAACCGATCCAAGCTGGAGAGAAAATTAAATTGTGGATAGCATTCTAAAACTTCGAATTAAAAATTTGCCAACTCGCCATATAGTGCTTTTAATACATTTTAAGAGTTATTATCAAGTATCTTTTGGAATGTGTTTCATTTTTTAATTGTCTTTGGCGTTGAAGGTGATTCACATATATTATGACTAGACTATACGATCCAATAGGGAGATGTTTCGGCGAGGTGACTCGCTCATAAACCAAATTATTATTGTTCTTGGGGACTAAATAAAGACAAAGACCACCAGAGTAACGAAAATGAAACAAATAAACAAATAATGAAATAAAGAAGCCAGCATAGCCATGAGAGTGAACCTTAAGTTCAATTTTAAGAAATCCGTTCGCAAGGAATTTGACGCTTGTTTCGGCGATAATGTCGAAAGGCAGACATGCCAGCATGGGGGCAAAATTTATTAGAGGGCTACGGAGCACAGGCTTGTATATATATAGAGGTGAGACAAATACTTCGATAGGGTAAGTTTTTTCTTCTTCCCAAACCGAAATAATTTTCGACTCCGAATATTATAGTTCTAGTTTTCTGATTGGTTCACTCGATTCCAGTTATCAGCTCATATTCCAAGTCACCCTCTATGGAAATGCACTACGCCAACTGTTGCGATGCTGAAAAAGAGCCCCAAATATCCAAGCGTTCAGGATTTAATAAAAATTTGATAATAAAACAATCATTCCATTCGCGCTTGTTGATACGAGATTAGTTGTACTCAGTTCGGCGCTACGCACCTCGTTGGCCATTTACCATCTCATATCCAACGCCCAGTAATGGAATAACTGATGAATTACGCCAAATCACCCTCACGGTTTATGGTGAGACGGTTTGAAACTCGGAATGTAAATTACTCGGTACGTACTGAATAGAACACACCAGATCTAAGAAAATAACAATGCTCCTTAGATAGAAAGAAAACTTCGTCCAGAACTGCTCTCAAGGCTGCAAGGAAGACGAGCTTTAATTCAACAACAAATTCTACGTCTTTGAATAAAAAAAGAGCGAGGTTTTGTAAGTCATTTTACCTATGGCTTGTCGCGTTTCCTCAAAGCTCTCCGTCAAAGGGGGGAGCAATAACCCAAAGCTGTACGATATAGCAGCAGTGATGGCTATCGACATCGTTGATGCAGCACACACCACCCAAGACAAGCAGCTGTCCGGCTGACATTTGGATTCGCATCCTTTGAAGGTTCCCGCAGCCTGATCGTTTGAATCTTCGGTGAAGATTTTGCTCATCGTCCTAGAGATAACTCAAACCTCAATGTGTTGAATATAGAGTGGTATTCATTTGAGCAGCTAGAGTAATCTGCGTTATTTTCATAATTGCCCGCCACCACGTGCGTTATCTCTACAATCTGCGTTAGTGTTGCCTCACTTCACTATGTGATTGGTCCATAAACCTCGCACCATTCCCCCCAGCCATTCAGATACAAAGCAATAAAGCTAACTGCAACCTGTTTTCACCCCTAAGTGAGTATAAGATCGCTAAAACATATATTTACTTTGAGATCTCATGGGCTCCTTGTGGTTACTTTGTTTTATTTATAACAGTCAATCACAAAATGCCCCTGCTGTTAGCTAACTTTCACTCGATTTTCCAAGTGACCTCCATCTCAGTGCGTCAAGTGTGTTTGGACTAGATGAAGATTTAGCTTCCACACCAAAACAATAGCGCGTGGTGGCGGACAATTATAAAGATAACAAAACTTGAGCAACATCTGAGTAGAAATGAGGGATCCACATTATTTTAAGTGCAGTTAGCAGATGTCTATAGCTCCAGAACTGAGAGGAGGGTCATTCCCTACAAATACGTCCCAAGTGCATCCCATGGGCCACGATATAGTAAGTACTATAGACAAGAGTGAGAGAGGATCAGTTTAACACAATGTTATCATTGACTACAACTCAAGGCCAAGGACTTGAGACGTGTTTTGATTTTAGCAACCTAATAAAAAGATGTTTAGACGCAAAAGATAGACTTCAACCCGAAGCCATGTTATGAACTACCTTACTTCGTGAGTTTTAAACGCTTTAGATCTTAGACTTTTTGAAGCTGTTCATTTTTCTTTCAATTTCACAAAACAATACTTATCACCGTATTATTGCAATTTCATATCTTCCTGTATTTATCTCGTATCCTCAGAAACTAGTTTGTTTTTCGATTGTGAAAGAAAATGGCCTTTAATATATGTCGGTTTAAATGGTGGCCCACAGTACAAGGAGGAGTTCAAATTCTGAGGCAAATCAACCACCAGAAGGATGTGGTTATTACTACGTTGTCAGGCAGAACAGTGCAAAAGAAGCAAAAACAACAACAACGACAAAAAAAGTTCTGTCACTACCTGTATGAGTTTAAGACCATTTATTTGCAATTGGTTAACAAGAAAAGAAGCGTTCAAATGTATCTCTGTGATTGTTAAAACGCACAACTTTGCAGATCCTTTGGTAGAAGTCAGTGATTTCGTTCATCTTCAGACATTAACTAGAGATACTTATCGACCGGTAATTATTTCCGCCTGAGGATAACGGAGGATTTGGATTGTGTCGCGATAACATTAATCTAGCCCACCCCTCCCCCCTCATTGGCAATTAATTTACTGGCGATTCCCTATAGTCCCCTCTTCAAACTCTGCTGGCGAAGAGTTATCCCTCCTCCGTTCCCAGTGTAAAACATGTGATCCCCCCCCCCCCCCAAGTTATCCACTTCTCAGCAGATTAATAAACAATAACTAGTACCTTGAGCAAGGAGGCCAGCGCCATTGAAATATTTCTGTAGGTATCCTCCGCTCAGGTTTCCATTTGTGTCATCATTTATGACTGCAGATGAGGTGTCAGGCCCCTGATTTGCTGACTGGCTAGATGGGCAAATCTTTTCAAAGTTATCCATCGCCTGCAATGCTTCTTATTGTTTTAATTTTACAACGCAAGTCTCCAGTGCATTCTCCGCTCCGTGCTTAAAAATTCGCAAAAAAACCGCCAACAGCACAGGTCTAAATGTATGAACCTAGTGCCCAACTCGCGAAAAGTGCTTCGGTAGCGTGGTTGTACGGGCATCGGAACGAACCGGACCAGACCGGTTTGAAATTCTCGTAACTTGAGACTCGCGACAATACATGTCTATCACGAATCTTACCTCACCCTTTCCACCATCATGTCATTTATTTTTACCTCTCAGATCAAAATTTGCCAGCAACGGCACTGCTGGATTGAAGACATTGAAAAGGAAACTATTCCTCAAGAATTTGGACTTTCAGTTGTGGAGAAAGTCTCTGTTCTTTAACTCGTTAGCAGAAGTAAAGTATTCCAAGTCAGTGCATGCAAAAATTTACTACTAATGAGAGGGAGCATTATGATACAACATAGTCCAAGAGGGGGGTCAGCTAAATTTTGTTGTGATACAAACAAAATCTTCCGCACATAACAAACAAGACGTAAACAAGCGAAAACAAAAACAATTAAAAACAGCAATTAATTTAAAAAGTCATTATGAATTACAGTTTAAGATTTCAGTCAGGACGGAATACGTACATAACTGTTTCCTTGGCTTATTAACCTGCCGCTGCTTGAGTAATGAGTTTAACACAGCATGAAATCGCAAATTTACGCATCTTTAACTCTTGCGTAAAGAAACGTAAATATAATGCCTCTTCTTTATGGACCAGTTCCGCGTTCCGTAATTGCCGAGAAAGCGTAAAGACTGCGTAAAGGATATTAAATGTTCGTAAAGGATTAGGATCAAGATGGATATAATTAACCACTTTCTATTTGGAGAAATACTCAAAGAAGTGAAATAATCATGGCTCGTCCATCTTCAGTCGAATTACCGAGGTATTTTGACCAGTTTCGCTTTTAACACTTTACGCGTCTCTAATGTTCTTTACGCATTTTTACTCGATGTTCTTTACGCATCTTTACTCACTGTTCTTTACGAACCTTTAAGATTCTTTAACATTCTTTACGCAAAATCAGTCTTTACGTGCCATTAATTCTCTTTACGAATCTTGAGTGTTCCTCAACGACCTTTAACTTTTCCTTTGCACAACCAGTCTTAACGTGCTTTTAATTCTCTTTCCGCATCTTTTAACGCGCTTTGAAAATCATGATCAGGGAGTTGTCGTGATGAGACAATCATGTTTTTTTCCCATAAATGGACCCTGCAGTGACGTGTTGAAGCGTGATGCTCTAATGTTTGTAATAAGCTTGTCGAACTTTAAGATCCGACTGTCAATGGTTCTAGCATTGTTTTAGTCCTCGGAACGTTTATGAAGAGTTCCTGGGGACGAAAATACATAGAAAAGAGGCTGCAGCAGATCGGAGGGAGATTATAACAGGTAACTCAGTTGAAATTAGAAGATCCTCGCAGCTAAGAACACTACTGAAACTAGTAGTTGTAAGTAGGACCAGGCCCGTACGGGATTTGAACCCATGACCTCTGCGATACCGGTGCAGCGCTCTACCAATTGAGCTAACAAGCCAACTAGGAGCTGGTCAATGAATTGGGTACAAATAAACATCCGAGTGAATGAAGATTTAGATATATGAAAATTCACATATTTGCACTGCGGTGGAAAGATGAAATTAGAAGATCCTCGCAGCTATTCTCAGTGACTATTCTCAGTAACTCAGTGTTAACAACTGAGTTGAAAACATAAATTAGCTACCGTAAAGAGTTAAAAGGCTGACGTTTTGAGCGTTAGGCCTTCGTCAATCGCTCTGATGAAGGGCTAACGTTCGAAACGTCAGCCTTTTAACTCTTTACGGTGGCTAATTTACGTTTTCAACTCAGTTGTTGACACTAAATTAAGTCTTTAATTCGGGCGATTCTTCCGACAAGTTCGGTACTGTTTGATAAAGGGTCGTGTTCACGAGACTGCAATGAGCCTATCAGAAGGTGAGACATCATATATTTGTATTCATGGCGCGAATATTAGCGTCCTTTTGGCGTCGTTTGCGATTACTCCTGGCTTTACTTTTGGCGTCTGAAGTGATCAGTGGACTCTTTTTCTTTCAAAATGTCAAGAATTTCCGACCACATCAGCGTGAGCGACAGTTTTACTGGACGATTCTTTGAAAGAAAACCAATCATTAAGAGAGCAATTGAGGCAGCGCGATGAACAAAATGCCTTAAAGTTCGAAGAGCTTTCAAACAAAGTGGACTCTTCTTGTAAACTTGTCGCCGAGAACAACTCGGGCAGCAAGGAAACGAAATCAAAGAAAGGTAACTCAAGGGTCCATGTGCCTACAAGCTGTGCGAAACCAATGAGACATTTTGTATACCTATGTAAAAATATTTATATTTATGATATTTGTATTTTTCCGTTCTTTCCCGTGTATATAAACCTCTGGCTACGTTACTGTGAAAATTACAAAATCAAGTTAAAGAGTTATGACAGTAAAATAAATTTCAATGCATAAAACACGTGTTGTTATATATAGGTCAGTCCTTGAAAGGCATGTACGGCATCGTTTTACAGAAGCGTAAAATATCGCAAACGTTCTCGATACGACTTTTGGCAATACGCACTAAGATAGCGCATTACGTCGATGTTGTCACGAGCTCACATTTGTTATGGTCTGATTAGCAAAGAGAATGTTGCCAAAAAATTCAGACAACTGCAAAATGACAAATGGGCATGTAAATATTGCCCATTTACGATAGTTTAATAACGCGTAAAGATCGCTTTACAGTCGCCGTAAATATTTAATAGTGTAGTTTGATCGTCCGCGTGAGTGTAGTCCTGAGAAAGACTGCTGTTACCGACAACAGTCCTTCTCAGGACTACACTCACCTGGACGATCAAACTACACTATTACATGTTACCCCCGGGTTCAAATTATTTACTGTATCGTAAATATCCTCTATACCACTTTTGACAAGGCACGTAACGATAATGTTTTTAGTCTCTCTCTGTGATCTTTTACGTACTATCGCTTTCAATGCGTAACGACATTCTTTACGAGAGTGTAAAGAAGTTCGTAAAGACGCGTAAGGAGGATCTTAACGCTTACTTTACGGCATCTTTACGGATTTGTAAATTTATAATTTCACGCTGTGTAAACTTCTTTTTTCACCGAAATCCCTCCGTTGTCGGGGAGGAACAAAGGCCGTTATCTAAAAAGCGCCTGAAGTAGGGCCAACTTTCTCCCATTTACTATCTGATCTCTTTAGTACGGAAACTGAAAGGAGATCTGGAGAAAGGTTTCCGTTTGTTAGGGATCATCACGAAAGACGACACTTCTAGATTCAACTGACGTAAGCAGAGGTCAGAGATTATAGGTATAACGCATTCTTTATTTGTCCAATATTGTGAGAAAGTATCTGACATAGCAATGGTTAATAACATCATGGAGCGGCGTCCTGATAGCTTTTGGTCATGCCTGGTTTGTGCAGCATCCGTATTGTCTATTCTGATCGCAACTAGCGGTCCATACGCCTTTGGATTGCTTCTTCCTCCTTTAATGGATGAATTCAGCGCAACCAGACAAGAAACAGGTAAGTGGAACTGTGTTAGTTTTTCCGGATGTCGATACATATCTACAACGACAGACGCGTTTAAAGAGACCCTGCGCCTGAGAAACGACCGATGATTTCTGGCTAAAAATTAAAATCGGCAGATTTTTATCTTCCAAGTAGAGGTTACCTATTACTATTTAAAATGAATTTCTTTTGCTTCAGTTTCGCTTTAAACTAAAAATATAGCGCCGTGAACTTGTTACGTAACAAGTACGTACTTGGTAAATGTCACTTTAAACCTTGCTAGGCGCTCAAATACCATCCTAAATAGAATGATGTGGTATTAAAAGAGAAAGGAAGATGAAAAATGGGTAGGAAAAGAAAATAATTTACATTTACCATCTGCTGAGTTGAGTTGAATCTTGGAAATGTTATCGCGTGACAGCACTCATTTCTCCAAACTACGGCGGAATCCAAGCAACTGCGTAGAATATAAGTAAAAAAAACAACTCTTCCGCCGCCAGAAATCCTGAAGTGAAACAGTTTTATATTATTGCCATGAATGATGATGAATTCAGGTGAAAATTAACCTCAGATAGTGTCCATTTAGTACTTTGGTGGGCTGCATGTATCTCGTTACATTCCAACGGACGTTGCGGGTCAGCGCTTACAGGGGTCAGCGGACGTAAAAATAGAAACAACCAGGTAATCATGGCGGATGCCTGTACTTAGTCAAAAGAGGGTCTCCTGGACTGCGGATCCTCACGTGGTCGCACGGAGACAATGTTTCTGTATGAATGTCGAGATGATGTAACTACACATCAGAAAATTGTTTTTTGTCGCGTGCAAACTTGAAAGAATATGAGATCATCCCGCAAAGGGCCGTTTGTCTCATGAAGAAGTGAAAACATTACGTACGCGTGTTTGTGCTCGCCATCGCTTAGGTATATATCGACACAGATATATCAAACAACTGAAACACCTCCTTAGCCATGGCAGGGTTGATCACGTCACGACTTTTGACGCTGGTAGGTGGTCCTTTGTGCCCTGGATAATGCTCCAGTACTTGCCCATACCATAGCGAAATGGTATTGGCGGTATCCGGTCGTTTCGCCTACGGGTCGTTTCGCCTACGGTCTGTTCGCCTACGGTTAGAGTCGATTCGCCTACGTCTTATATGTCAGTTCGCCTACGAGTCAGATGTTGAAGCTTTAACTCGGAATTAATAAAAGTCTTTGTTCCTTGTATTATTCCTTCCATTCTATCCTCGATGGCTAGAAAAACAACGCGCTAAAACATCTAAGTTCGTTTTTAAAAACTTTATTATGGCGGAACCCGGTCGTCTACGAATGTGTGAAAGATATTTTGCTTAAAATGATTTAAGAAACGTGCGATTGTAAAACTGAGCATTAAGATGTGTATTAAAATGAAATTAACCACCGTTTACGGTCTTTGTGTGGTCGTGTAAAGCGCGAGCAGAGCAGTAAACAAACCACTGTTTACGGTCTTTGCATAGACTTGTGAAGCGTGAGCGGCGCCTAAACTAAAGAAGGTGAGACTTTTCATTAACATATACGAAATTAGCTTCGGCTTGACTTGACAGTCGGTTCAATTTCTGCGTCGATTTGGCGGGCGACTCGTTGAATCTTTTATTTCTATAAACTAGTTTATGTATGTAATGTGTCGATTATACAGTTAACACAGGCGAATCGTACGACCGGCTCGGTAAACTTTTCGCCTCGCCTACCGTCACAATGAACTCCTCTGCGCCCTGTGGAATTAAACGCGAATGATCTGTTGTTTAAGGGGCAGGTGTCACTCGGATAACCTAAACGTCCCCGCATGTAATAAGTGTATTAGAATTAAAATGTCGCGAAATGAGTACGCTTCATGGTTACTGAGTGTAATTGGAGAACCGTGTAATTCGCAACTCAGAATATGCGATATTTACATAACTTGTTTTTACTCGAACGAAGATGAATCAAATTAAAACGGAAATTTTCAGGTAAACGAACGCTCCTTATTTACAATTATTTAACTTCGATAGGCTTGACTTTATGAGTCACGCTCTAGGAATTGAATCGACCGACTAGGATCCGAGCGCGATCACACATAAAGTAGATGAATCAACTGTTGTAACACATGTTTTAACACGTAGGCGAACTGACATATGAGACGTAGGCGAATCGACTCTAACCGTAGGCGAACAGACCGTAGGCGAAACGACCCGTAGGCGAAACGACCGTAATTCGTATTGGCAAGTATAATTTCAGCATAATCATCGCTGAAATTTTGTTTTCCTTGTCGACGTTTAGGATATATATTTGCAAATTTGCAAATTGTCGGATGTGAATGGCAGAAAGTTTGTTTCCGGTCTTTTCTCCTTGTTCCCAGCTGCGACTCTTTTCGTCAAGTGCTTGTTACATTTACTACAGGGTATCCTGTAGTTCTGGGTATCACGACTCGGGGTGGGAGTAATTTTTCGTACAAAATGACTTTTTTCTTCCATTACGAGGAGATTTTGAATTTCAACGACTACGTAATATCAGTTTTTCAGCTACCTTACGATAATACTTCTAAGACACATAACTTTTTTAAATTTGCAAAACATGCTTCAATAGACTTTTTACAGTTCCCGGCGCCACATTGGATTAGTAACCGCGCACATTCGATAAAGAGGCTGGGGTTGACCCGGCGGTTCTTTCAAACAGCTCATCTGCTGACATTTCACGTTCTAATGCACTTTTCAATGCGATTTCTCCCTTCAAAATAGTTCTTTAATACAACAATATGGAAATTTCGTCATTAGATGACATCCAGAAACTCGAAGCAAAAGATCTCAGGGAGATTTTAAAATCTAATTCAAAATCGACGGGCGGAATTAGAGCCGACTTAGTGTCGAAAGTTTATGCTTTGCTGATGTAACGCGTCCTTCCATCCAGTAGTGGAGAAAACCGAGAACTTCTTACAGATGTCCAGGACCTAGAACAAAGCCAGAGCGACTTCAGATACGAAGCAACTATGGTAAGGATTTCAGCCCTTGGATGGTCGAGCGATCTCCGTAATTTACCCGAGACAAATTTCATTCAGCTTTACGATTACCCTGTTGTTTCATGAAAATATCGCCACATCGTGTTTAGAGGAACGCATTGCAGGGAGTTCCATGTGGTATCCGTATTGGATTACTATGCTATCATAAAAAACAAAAACAACAATTACTGAAAACTACTTTTGTCACAATTACTACCAAATTTGTGTCAGTTTCCTGGGTTTGCCAGTGTCTTGGTTATTCTATTAAAAGCAATTACTTTCCGAGATTTTCTCTGTTAGAAAAAAAAAAACTCTATTGAACTTAAAACAATTCAGGTACCTAATAGAAAATTTGTACTAATTTTGCAACAATCGTTACCCTCATCTATAATTCACAGAGAATAAGATAAGTATAGAACGATAAATACTTAGCAAAAATACATGCCTCCGTGCATAAACTTGAAGAAGTGAAAGCTCGTAGGCAAACCATTAGGGCCATAAAATGTATTTGAATAACCAAAAGCGGCACACTGCTTTCCTTTCTTTTCGGGAGGAAAATTAGCTTTATCGAGATTTCGGCTAGGATCATCCATTTCCCTTAAAAATCGAATAATTTTACTTCCCACTAACGAATTTCACCTAAAGCGCTCACAGAGATTTAACACAAGTCAACCCCAGCCTCGTTCTCACGTGTGCGCGGTTGCATGTCCAATATGGCGCTGGGAACTGTGAAAAGGTCTATTCGACGCTACTCAAGTCATCCTCAGTTGAAGATAATCGTGTTACAATTTGAATACGTTCTCGAATTGCACTATACTTGTATGAATTCGTGAACTATGTGAATAAAATATATATATTAGGCATCACAGGAAGGTAACAGAAGGATTTTGAGGTAATCAAGAAAAAAGAGCTTGAAACATGCAAAGCTTTGTCCGACACATGGTGCTAAAATGTTTCGCGTGGAAAATCCCATTCCACAGCAGGGTGTACTTGAGAACCTTGCATCGGACAAGGTTTCACACGTCCACAAGCACTGGCAATCCAATTCAGTCATCTAAACCTTGTCAAGACTTGTGCTCTGCAGAATCATCTTTCGCGATTTTGGATTCTGCCATCTAAATTTTCGAATAAAGATGAATGAGGCCATGAATATTAAATGGAAGATACTTAATACCAACACCAGAAACAATTAGATTCGTCTCTCTATTTTAACTTAATTTATTTTTTTATCATATTTATCATTAACATTTAACTTATGTTTTTTTTTATTAGTATATATTGTATAAGCTTTTTCTGGGTTACTTCAAAATACCAATATTGCCTTTCTGAGCTTCTGCTATATTTTTTTTCAAATAATTCACGTAATCTAACGTCGTAATTAAAAAACGTTTTGTTCAGTTAAATTCAAATTGGAACACGAGCGACTGCATCTGAAAATGAGATGAGTAAAGTCGAAACATGAGTAACAAACTTAAAACTATTTTTTTATGGGACTAAATATATATAACTATCTGCTCAACATTGACCATTTTTCAAAGGTTTTGATGTATTTAAGAGTAAACTACACTGTAGTAAAAGTCATCTGCCTGTTTCCAGAGGTTTAAAGTTTTTTTCGAAAATTGTTATTTATACAATTATGGTATCATTTTTCGAATTCAGGGCGACAAAAAAAGTTTTGTTAAAATTCGAAGTCACCTTGGCTTAAATCATTCAACATTTTTCATCACCTTATCATATGGCGAAACCACAAAAAAATGATAATAAGTAAACAAGCTTAGTCACGTACAGACTGAATTGATATTACCTCGTTCGATATCAGTTTCATTTACCTTAGACATAATCCGAGTTTTTATGAAGACGCGTCAGTCCCCCTATCCCCACCCCACTCTGCAGCCAATGTCCTGTGTAATTTAAAAGTGTTTTGTACTTTTTTTCTAGCATGGGTCGGATCCTTGAACACGGCTTGTGGCTACATTCTTAACCCATTCAGCGTCCATGTTACGGATCGTTTCGGCTTCCGGGCTACCGCCATTCTGGGATCTGTGTCGAGCTTAATAGGCGTAGGCCTGGCTTCATTCTCTGCTCAGCTATGGATGATGTACCCAACTTATGGCTTCCTGATGGGGTTTGGAAACACAACGATCTATAGTACATCGATGCTGGTCGTTTTAAAGTATTTTGTGAAATGGCGTTCTGTGGCGGTCGGACTCGTCGCATCGGCAACATCGGTTGCTGTGTTTGCCATGACACAATTTGTTCAAGCACTACTAAGTGCCTTTGGCTGGCGATGGGCCATGCGAGGAATAGCGAGTCTGTTTTTGATGTGCGGTTTGTGTTCAGCTTTATATCTACCGGTCAACAAGGCGAAGGAGAGTGATGAACAAACTTCGGATAGAATTGGAACAGACAAGAAGAAGGAGAATGAACCACATGTACTGAAGAACCGCCGATTTTTGGTATTTTGCTCTGCAAATACAATTGTCATGTTTGGATACTACATTCCAGTTGTACACATCGTAAGTTGTCTTTTCTCATTTCCACATCGTAATTTTCTCCCTTAAACATAAATCATCTTCTTCTCCTCTTTCTGAGGGTAAGTCTTTTGGGGGTCATTTGGGGTGGGAATGTTCACAGCTTTTAAACTCTGGAATGGATTATCGTTGTGAGCTATGAAAATCTGGAATTTGTTCTTATATCAAGGGTTATCGCTGTGACGTGAGCGACAAAAGTCTGTGAATGACCGCTGTACGTATGTGGGGCTCAACGGGGTGATGCCTTCTAGGCTAACGGTTAAAATTTTGGTCATTTTACGGCTAACACTTTTTTCTGTTGTCAACAAACCTTTTTTTAACTGTTAAATTTTTTTACGACTAACGGTTAAAACTTGTCAATTTTTACGCCTAACAGCAAAAGTTTTAAGCCGTTTTACGTTTAATGGTTAACACCATTGAGACCCTCCTGTATGTGTCGTGTGAAGTGTTACCATATGGTAAATGTTCGCCAAAAAAGAAACGCGAAGACAAGAATCAAGTGGCTAGGACGCGACATTTCAAATAATCTCAGTGACGTGATGGTCATACTCAATAATAAGTAGAAGTGTAGCTAAAATTATTTGGTGTTTGCCTTGGATTTTCAAACAGTGGTTTTAGCGTTTCACGTTGGATTCTAGGATTAAACCGTTTTCCACGCTCTCAATTCAGTCAGACTAACAAACTTTCTCGCTGAATTTTAAGAGCCGGAAGTCTTGGCGATGTAACGGATTCTGCTTATTAGGTCAATTCGAAAAATTACCGTTACGTCACGCTTGATTTGCAAGATTTCCTTTAAATGATGATCGTGTATCGTTAGATTGGTCCAGAGAGGAAAAGCGAGAATGGCGACCTGTCAAATATTGAAGAGTATTGTCAGTAAGAACTTCTAACCAGTTCTTCTAAGCGGAGTAAATGACTTAATATAACTCAACCTCATTAATATTTGCAGATCAAACATTGTGAGCAAGAACTGCAGATTCCTGAACATAAATCCTTCATACTCTTCACTTACCTCGCTGGAGCGTCTGTTATCAGCCGCCTTGTGTTCTGCAAATTGGGAGACTTTCAATGCGTCAGCCGTTTCTTTCTTTATCAAGTGTCCGTGGTCATATATGGGATATGTGTGTTATTATTACCATTTGTAAAAACGTTTAACTCTTTGGTGATAATATTTGTTGTTTTTGGACTTATGGACGGCGGTGCACTGGGTCAGTTTTCCCTCCTTGTTTTAGGCTGTGTCGGTCAAAGAAAAGTGAATCAAGGCTGGGGTTACGCCATGTTTAGTATAGGTTTTGGAGTCGGCACTGGACCTCCACTCGCAGGTAAAAATTATTTTACAATAAGTCCTAACGTAATTGATCATGTGATACTATATAGGTTGTTGCATGTGCCATTATGGGCTAAATTAAATAATTAGGAGCTAGAAGAGTTCTCGAAGGTTATCATGGGTATGCAATCCGAGACTCAGTGAAAGATTTGCATTTTGCGCCGGTAAAAATTTTTATCACCTTTTTTTCTGAGGGAGGGGGGGGGGGAGCGGGAAGCATACATATTTTTTATTGTAACAATGAAACTTATTAATTATATTGGTACCTCGGGTTACATTGATTAACATTTGTGCATAGCGACCACTACTAAGAAGTCCGAAAGGAACTGGAACGGGTGAAAATGAAGAGGAACGAAACAAATTCATTCTTTAACAATCAGGATCAAAACAGAAAACCAATGGCGACTTGATCACTCGTGTTTTCCCGCGCTTTTTTACCCGCTCTTCAGGCAGTTTGTTTGTTTTTACTTCGGGTTCTCATTGGCTCAGGGAGATATTTGCCCTGCTATGATTGGCTGTTGTGTTTACTTTGGTTTTGGTTTTATGACACTCAATGTCACTAACATGACGATGTAATTTCACACGATGTGATCTCGCTTTCTTAACTTGCTTTGATGCTGAATCCTTACTTTGCTATTTACGTCATTTGTGAAACAGGTTTTATGGCGGACGAGAGTGGTTCCTACGCAGTAGCCTTTTATTTATCAGGAGTAGTGCTTATAGCTGGAGCTGCTATCACACTGCTGATGAAGTTTGTAAAGCAAACAGACGTAACCGAAGGCCCTGAAGAAGTCAAAGCCCAAGAAATGGGAATTCTGATTGTAGAGAAAGTCACCGTTCTTTAATTGAGTTCGGAGAGTAGAAAATTTCCAGGTCAATTTACAAAAATTTCACAAAATAATACTCATCACCGTATTATTGCAATTTCATATCTTCCTGTATTTATTTCGTATCCTCAGAAACTAGTTTGTTTTTCGATTGTGAAAGAAAATGGCCTTTAATATATGTCGGTTTAAATGGTGGCCCACAGTACAAGGAGGAGTTTGAATTCTGAGGCAAATCAACCACCAGAAGGATGTGGTTATTACTACGTTGTCAGGCAGAACAGTGCAAAAGAAGCAAAACAACAACAACAACAAAAAAAGTTCTGTCACTACCTGTATGAGTTTAAGACCATTTATTTGCAATTGGTTAACAGGAAAAGAAGCATTCAAATGTATCTCTGTGATTGTTAAAACGCACAAATCCGCAGATCCTTTGGTAGAAGTCAGTGATTTCGTTCATCTTCAGACATTAACTGAAGATACTTATCGACCGGTAATTATTTACCGCCTGAAGATAACGGAGGATTTGGATTGTGTCGCGATAACAATAATCTGGCCCACTCCTCCCCCCTCACTGGCAATTAATTTACTGGCAATTCCCTATAGTTCCCCCTTCAAACTCTGCTGGCGACGACTTATCCCTCCTCCGTTCCCAGTGTAAAACATTTGATCCCCCTTAAAGTTATCCACTTCTCAGCAGACTAAACAATAACTAGTACCTTGAACAAGGAGGCCAGCGTCATTGAAATATTCTGTAGGTAGTCTCCGCTCAGGTTTCCATTTGTGTCATCATTTATGACTGCAGATGAGGTGTCAGTCCTCTGGTTTGCTGACTGGCTAAATGGGCAAATCCATTCAAAGTTATCCATCACCTGCAATGCTTCTTAATGTTTGTGTTTGATGTTTCCACTCTTAAAGCGAATCGACTTTTAGTTTCTCGATTTTTTTCGATTTTCTTTCCTTCTTTATATAACCACTTTGTTCACATTGTGAGTTTTATTTCTCATTTTGCGAACCTATTGTAATTTTACCTTCAGACCTATCTTAATTCAGATAACTCTTTCAACCGTGATTATCTCGTGACATCAAACTAGAACATACTCGGTCTTCGATCTTAAGAACTGAGATATTTTAATTAGAGATGAAAGCTTTTTTTCATTTTCTTTCCTAGAGTTAATTTTCTTAAGGTAGGATTTGAACTATGAACCGGAAATCCGACCAGGGTATCAATATCTCTATAATTAACTTCTCTACATTAAGTAAATTCCTTAGTTCTCCTGGCAAAGTGTAATTTGCTGCGTTTAATTTGGCAATGTGGAGAGTTAAAATGTAGCAGCTCACAACCCAAATTTTACTTATTTCGCTTGATAGTAAAATGATGGCAACAAAATTTGTAGACCAGATACAGTAAGTACGCTTTTTGAAGTATGTCTTGAACCTTAAGCAATCGAGTAGCCTGCAGAATTGGGTGCTCGGTGAAAATAACCACGTCTGAGCTGTAACAGCAATCAGCAGAGTTTCTACGTGAGAAACGTTACCTTTTCATTCCTTTTTAATTTTACAACCCAAGTCTCCTGTGGACTCGCCGCTCAACGCTTAAAAATTCGCAAACAACCGCCAACAGCACAGGCCTAAATATATGAACCTTGCGCCTAATCCCAACTCGCGAAAAGTGCTTCGGTAGCGTGGTTGTACGGGCATCGGAACGGACCGGACCAGACCGGATTGGAATTCTCGTAACTTGAGACTCGCGACGATACATGTTTATCAAGAATCTTACCTCACCCTTTTTATCATCATGTCATTTATTTTTACCTCTCAGATCAAAATTTGCTAGCAACGGCACTGCTGGATTGAAGTTATTGAAAAGGAAATTATCGCTCAAGAATTTGGACCTTCAGTTTTGGAGAAAGACTCTGTTCTTTCACTCGTTAGCAGGAGTAAAGTATTCCAAGTCAATGCATGCAAAAAGTTACTACGAATGAGTCCAAACAAAAACAAAATACAAACAAAATCTTCTGCATAAAACAAACAAGACGTAAACAGGCCAGAACAAAAACAATTAAAAGCAGCAATTTAAAAAGTCATATGAACTACAGTTCAAGATTTCAGTTAGGACGGAATACGTATATAACTGTTTCCTTGGCTTATTAACCTGCCGCTGCTTGAGTAATGAGTTTAAACTTCTTTTTTCACCGAAATCTCTCAGTTGTCGGGGAGGAACAAAGGCCCTTATCTAGAAAGCGCCTGAAGTAGGGCCAACTTTCTCCCATTTACTATCTGATCTCTTTAGTACGGAAACCGAAAGGTAAAGCACAGAATCTGTTTTAGCTCTGGAGAAAGGTTTCCTTTTTTAGGGATCATCACGAAGACGACACTTCTAGATTCAACTGACGTAAGCAGAGGTCAGAGATTATAGGTATAACGCATTCTTTGTTTGTCCAATATTGTGAGAAAGTATCTGACATAGCAATGGTCAATAACATCATGGAGCGGCGTCCTGATAGCTTTTGGTCATGCCTGGTTTGTGCAGCATCCGTGTTATCTATTCTGATCGCAACTGGCGGTCCATACGCCTTTGGATTGCTTCTTCCTCCTTTAATGGATGAATTCAACGCAAACAGACAAGAAACAGGTAAGTGGAACTTAGTTTTACCGGATGTTGATACATATCTACAACGACAGACGCGTTTAAGTCTGATGGAGATTGAGTTCATAAGGATATGTTCGTATTGGAATCTTCTTAATTATTGATCATAACGTTAGAAAAACTTTAAGGTAAATAACTAAGGTGGGATTTCCAATTTTATCATCGCTGAAATTTTGTTTTCCTTGTCGACGTTTAGGATATATATTTGCAAATTGTCGGATGGGAATGGCAGAAAGTTTGTTGCCGGTCTTTTCTCCTTGTTCCCAGCTGCGACTCTTTTCGTCAAGTGCTTGTTACATTTACTACAGGGTATCCTGCAGTTCTGGGTATCACGATTCGGGGTGGGAGTAATTTTTCGTACAAAATAACTTTTTTCTTCCATTACGAGGAGATTTCGAATTTCAACGACTACGTAATATCAGTTTTTCAGCTACCTTACAATAATACTTCTAAGACACACAAACCTTTTTAAGTTTGCAAAACATGTTTCAATTCGACGCTACTCAAGTCATCCTCAGTTGAAGATAATCGTGTTACAACTTGAATACGTTCTCGAATTGCACTATACTTGTATGAATTCGTGTGCTATGTGAATAAAATATATATTAACGGCATCACAGGAAGGCAACAGAAGGATTTTGAGGTAACCAAGAAAAAAAAGCTTGAAACATGAAAAGCTTTGTCCGACACAAGGTGCTAAAATGTTTCGCGTAGAAGATTCCATGCCACAGCAGGGTGTGCGTGAGAACCTTTCATCGGACAAGGTTCCACACGTCCACAAGCACTGGCAATCCAATTCAGTCATCTAAACCTTGTCAAGACTTGTGCTCTGCAGAATCTTCTTTCGCGATTTTGGATTCTGCCATCTAAATTTCGAATAAAGAGGAAAGAGGCCATGAATATTAAATGGAAGAATTCGACTTAATACCAACAGCTGAAAAAATTAGATTTATCTCTCTATTTTAACTTAATTTATTTTTTTATCATATTTATCATTAACATTTAACTTATGTTTTTTTTTATTAGTATATATTGTATTGGCTTTTTCTGGGTTACTTCAAAATACCAATATTGCCTATCTGAGCTTCTGCTATATTTTTTTTCAAATATTTCACGTAATCTAACGTCGTAATTAAAATCGTTTTGTTCAATTAAATTCAAATTGTAACACGCGAGCAACTGCATCTGAAGATGAGATGAGTAAAGTCGAAACATGAGTAGCAAACTTAAAACTATTTTTTATGGGACTGAATATATATAACTATCTGCTCAATATTGACCATTTCGCAAGGTTTGGATGTATTTAGGAGTAAACTACACTGTAGTAAAAGTTATCTGCCTGTTTCCAGAGGTTTAAAGTTTTTTCAAAAATTGTTATCTATACAATTGTGGTATCATTTTTCGAATTCAGGTCGACAAATTAAAAAAAGTTTTGTTAAAATTCGAAGACACCTTGACTTAAATCATTCAACATTTTTCATCACCTTATCATATGGCGAAACCACAAAAAAAGTAATAATAAATAAACAAGCCAAGTCACGTACAGACTAAATCGATATAGCTCGTTCGATATCAGTTTAATTTACCCTAAACCCCACCCCACTCTGCAGCCTGCGTCCTTGTGTAATTTCAAAATGTTTTCTACTTTTTTTCCTAGCATGGGTTGGATCCTTAAACACGGCTTGTGGCTACATTCTTAACCCATTCAGCGTCCATGTTACAAACCGTTTCGGCTTCCGAGCTACCGCCATTCTGGGATCTGTGTCGAGCTTAATAGGCGTAGGCCTGGCTTCATTCTCTGCTCAGCTATGGATGATGTACCCAACTTATGGCTTCCTGACGGGGTTTGGAAGCACAACGATCTATAGTACATCGATGCTGGTCGTTTTAAAGTATTTTGTGAAATGGCGTTCTGTGGCGGTCGGACTCGTCGCATCGGCAACATCGGTTTCTGCGTTTGCCATGACACAATTTGTTCAAGCACTACTAAGTGCCTTTGGCTGGCGATGGGCCATGCGAGGAATAGCGGGTCTGTTTTTGATGTGTGGTATGTGTTCAGCTTTATATCTACCGGTCAACAGGGCAAAGGAGAGTGATGAACAAACTCTGGATAGAATTGGAACAGACAAGAAGGAGAATGAACCACATGTACTGAAGAACCACAGATTTTTAGTATTTTGCTCTGCAAATACAATTGTTATGTTTGGATACTACATTCCAGTTATACACATCGTAAGTTGTCTTTTCCCATTTCCACTTCGTAATTTTATCCCTTGAACATAAATCATCTTCTTCTCCTCTTTCTGAGGGTAAGTCTTTTGGGGTCATTTGGGGTGCGAGTGTTCACGGCTTTTAAACTCTGGAATGGATTATCGCTGTAAGCTATGAAAATCTGGAATTTGTTCTTATATCAAGGGTTATCGTTGTGAGCGACAAAAGTCTGTGAATGACCGCTGTACGTATGTGGGGCTCAACGGAGTGATGCCTTCTTTTGGTCATTTTACGGCTAACACTTTTTTCTGTTGTCAACAAATCTTTTTTCAACTATTAACATTTTTTACGACTAACTGTTAAAACTTGTCAATTTTTACGCCTAACGGCAAAAGTTTTAAGCCGTTTTACTTTTAATTGTTAACACCATTGAGACCCTCCTGTATGTGTCGTGTGAAGTGTTACCATATGGTAAATGTTCGCCAAAAAAGAAACGCGAAGACAAGAATCAAGTGGCTAGGACGCGACATTTGAAATAATCTCAGTGACGTGATGGTCATACCCAATAATAAGTAGAAGTGTAGCTAAAATTATTTGGTGTTTGCCTTGGATTTTCAAACAGTGGTTTTAGCGTTTCACGTTGGATTCTAGGATTAAACCGTTTTCCACGCTCTCAATTCAGTCAGACTAACAAACTTTCTCGCTGAATTTTAAGAGCCGGAAGTCTTGGTGATGTAACGGATTCTGCTTATTAGGTCAATTCGAAAAATTACCGTTACGTCACGCTTGATTTGCAAGATTTCCTTTAAATGATGATCGTGTATCGTTAGAGTGGTCCAGAGAGGAAAAGCGAGAATGGCGACCTGTCAAATAGTGAAGAGTATTGTCAGTAAGAACTTCCAACCAGTTCTTCTAAGCGGAGTAAATGACTTAATATAACTCAACCTCATTAATATTTGCAGATCAAACATTGTAAGCAAGAACTCCAGATTCCTGAACATAAATCCTTCATACTCTTCACTTACCTCGCTGGAGCGTCTGTTATCAGCCGCCTCGCGTTCTGCAAATTGGGAGACTTTCAATGCGTCAGCCGTTTCTTTCTTTATCAAGTGTCCGTGGTCATATATGGGATATGTGTGTTATTATTACCATTTGTAAAAACGTTTAACTCTTTGGTGATAATATTTGTTGTTTTTGGACTTATGGACGGCGGTGCACTGGGTCAGTTTTCCCTCCTTGTTTTAGGCTGTGTCGGTCAAAGAAAAGTGAATCAAGGCTGGGGTTACGCCATGTTTAGTGTAGGTTTTGGAGTCGGCACTGGACCTCCACTCGCAGGTAAAAATCATTTTACAATAAGTCCTAACGTAATTGATCATGTGATACTATATAGGTTGTTGCATGTGCCATTATGGGCTAAATTGTATGATTGGGAGATAGAAGAGTTCTCGAAGTTTATCATGGGTATGCAAATACGAGACTCAGTGAAATATTTGCATTTGGGGCCGGTAAAAATTTTTATCATCTTTTTTTCTGGAGGGGTGTGGGGGGAGCGGGAAGCAGGCATATATTTTATTGTAACAATGAAACTTATTAATTATATTTGTACCTCAGGATACATTGATCAACATTTGTGCATAGCGACTCGCCAAATTTCCTTCAACTTGAAGGAAAGCACAACATTTGATTTGGTAACCAAAAGGGAAAGGCCATTCATTCGTTCTCAACCAAACAGGATCAAAACAGAAAACCAATAGCGACTTGATCACTCGTGTTTTCCCGCGCTTTTTTACCCGCGCTTCAGGCAGTTTGCTTGTTTTTACTTCGGGTTCTCATTGGCTCAGGGAGATATTTGCCCTGCTATGATTGGCTGTTATGTTTGCTTTGGTTTTGATTTTATGACACTCAATGTCACTAACATGACGATGTTTACGTCATTTGTGAAACAGGTTTTATGGCGGACGAGAGTGGTTCCTACGCGGTAGCCTTTTATTTATCAGGAGTAGTGCTTATAGCTGGAGCTGCTATCACACTACTGATGAAGTTTGTAAAGCAACCAGACGTAACCGAAGGCCCTGAAGAAGTCAAAGCCCAAGAAATGGGAATTCTGATTGTAGAGAAAGTCACCGTTCTTTAATTGAGTTCGGAGAGTAGAAAATTTCCAGGTCAATTTACGCGGATTGCCCCCTCCTTAAAATGGTTAACTGAAGTCTGAGTTTGGTTTTGTCAAAAATGTAATTTAGATGGATCCTTGAATAAGGCGTGTGGCTACATTCGCAACCCACTTACCAAGGGAAAAAATTAAAGTGTTTGAAAAGCTGCCTCAGAAAGCGTGGTTCGTTTGAAGCTCTCTCAATATTGACAGTTCTTAAATCTAAGAAGGATAGGTAGATCCAATATGTTTAAAAATTTGACAAGAATGCACAACTCTAGTGCGTTTTATTCAATAAAGAGTTTGACTTGTTTACAAGGCCCCGTGAAGGAAGTAGTAACTGAGCCGTACAATTTTTAAGCTTTGAAAAATCATTAATTAGTTTCGCACGGTCCACCGACGATTTTATCAAGAGAGTTCCACCATACTAATTTAAAATTTTGTAAAACATTGAAGCGTTTATTTCCACCTACTCACAACTCAGGCGTATCGGAGGACATCTTAGCTAGGAATTAAAATTGTTATAATCTTAATGCAAGAAAATTGAACTTTAGAGGTGAGTTTTTACGATGGTTGCATTTCTGAGATAAGCGTGAGATTTGACTTCATATATTATAATCCGTTTAATTTAAAAATATAGTCTATTCTTTGGCCGATTGTAGAAGAGTTAATGCATGCAAAGTGATAGCCTTTACCAAAAGCATTCAGATGAATCGTAGACAGAAGATTCGCTCATAGAAAAAGAATAAAATAAAAAATTTTCATGCAACCGAGCAAAAATATCAAGTTTATCCGTTCAAAAAAACCAAAAGAAATTAAAGAAATACATATTTTGGCTTTTCAATAGGTTGGAAAACAATCAAAAGTACCTATTTACATGTGTCACGATGTAAGCAAACCGGGTTGAAGGAGTTACTGAAACCGGTCTAGAGAAAATATTTTTAACGGCAGTATTGAACTTCAGATAATGCTTTTTTTTCGAAGTTCGAATTCTTATATGCTCAGCATATTCAAACGCATAATGCTATTGTTGAATCAAATCAAATATAGCCGTCATTCTACAAATGCTCTAACGGGTGATAGATTTTTTCGTTTCTTTTCTCTTTGCAGAAACAAAATATAAATAACGTCCCTCGAGTAAATATCTTATGCTAACAACCACCTTGCCATCGACTGATATCGAGTTTATCACCTCACCACGATGGTCTAAGTCATGTAGTAATCTGCAAAATTCATTCTATCGTAGCCTCTTGTCTCAATTAAATCAAGTTCTTGAGATGTCATCACATCAGTGAATTAGCGCATTTAAGCGTCGATTCAGTTGAGCGGTCCATGATTTACAACCCTACGGCCCTGAAAGCAGGTCTCGAGCAAAAAAAACTCCGCCTGGTTTTACATTTTTCAATAGTTGGGATCAATGAATCTGACAGTTATTTTAACGGGTGGAGCACGCTCGCTAATTGATTGAGCTCAACAGGTGTAACATCGTTTCACAACTGGTGGCGAGAATTCGAATCACGTGACCAAAGGTCGAACCGGTACTGTTTTTTTGGACATGAATAAGAGATAAGATTCAGCCATTTAGCTTCTTGGTGTTTTTGTTCTTCTGGGGCCCGTCCCGCTCTTTACACAATTCATTTAGATTAATTGAGAACTTACGCCAAGGAAGAAAAGTTAAAAACTCGGGCGAAAGAGGTGCGATGGAGATCTGATCGCTGCAAGATTGAAGCACGAATTTTAATTTAGAATGCCAAGCCAAGAGCGACCACTTCGGTAAATTCTAGTTGTTGCTTGTCCCTCTCGTTTGTGTATTTTGGCCAAAAATCAGGATTTTATCATAGTTAGGTAAGTACCTCAGGTTTTATTCAGGCTTAAATTCGACAAAAATTATAGAATAACATAAGTTACTGAAAGTAGAGTTTAAATGTGTTTTGAAATGCGCTTTTCCTTGAAAGCCGCATATATAACAAGGCGTTATTTTGTCAGACGATAGAGTTGGTTTTGACAGGTGAACTTTATTCAGATATTGGCCTCTGTAGAATTCTTTGAACAGTCTGAGTTGTTTCTGTTAGATTAACAGCGTCTTTCTGAACGTGATGAATGATCAGAATTAGAGGTAAATGTGGGGTATAGAAGTCAATTTGGTTAGATAGATAAACTTCCGTGATCTAAGGGTTGAAGTTTTCTATCTAACACAGCAGGAGAGAGAGGGTTGAAAAATGTTCTCGCATTTTTTTTTTATGTAAAAGTTAACAAAAGGATTTTTATGTCCTTGTTTACATCGTAAGATATTTTTTCTCTAAAGCTGGCTTCATAATCGAATGCTACTTTATCGATACATATGACATCAAGAACCGAAAAGAAACTTTAATATACGAAAAGCAAGATGTCTGCCTTTTTGGTAAACTTATAGAAAATATTGTAACAGACCTTGCAACGCTCGAACAGAGATCTTACAAGACCACAAGTGCTGACGGAGATTTCTGAAATAGATTTCTAAAACTATGGCGTATCTTCTCGTAGACTTACAAACGCTATTTTACTTGATAACTGATGACTAGTAACACAAACGAATCTTTCTCTTGATCTCTACTAGGACCCAAGCGTGACTCACGCATATCTCGAAACCAAATGAGACTTTATGCGTTAGGATTATTTCTCTTACTGACCTGGGTAGCAAAATCGTCAGGAAGTAAGTACGATATCCAACTTTTCCCCGCTATATAATAGAAAGTTTCATTTTGTTTACAAAATATATCTCATTCCATTGATGGTTGCATTCTTATTGTCTTCCTAACAAAGTTTATTTGGGTCCAGTGTAATTTTTAACTGATATTTTTAATCGCTCAGAATTTCAAAAAGCTTTATTTGAAAATTAAAAAAGACGATCATTAGAAAGAAAAAAAGATTTAGACTAAGCTTGGAAAAACGGCAGAAATATGTCTGTAATGCATAACTAATTTACTCTTACTAATTAATTTACGATACCCCTAAATTTGACCAGTGCGGTCGTTAACAAGTGTGGAAATTTCATTGATCTCTAAATTAAGTGTATTTTTTTTTTTTTAATCTAATAACGAGCGAAGATTTTTTACTTGAATGATGGTGTGCTTTAAAAACAACCATGAAAGATATTTTAAGATCAAGTTTCAGAGTTTACGATTCTTCTGAAAGATTAGACACACTGTTTTTAGCCCTAGCACTGATATACGTGATACATTTCTCCATTCTCAGCACCAAGTGTGGCATTTTAAAAGGGAAAATGAAATAAGTGTAATTCTCTATTTCTTGTTTAGATAAAAGAGCCCATCATAGTTCTCAACCTCACTCTCATGTGCGACGTTCAGTTCATGAAGACCATGGTAAAACTAAAGATTCCTCTAAGCGCCTTTACGAAATGTTGGTGAGAAGGAATATACTAACAAGACGAAGGAGGGAACTCATGACAGGTCCACGTAAGTGAAACAATTGAAGCTCAAGTCACGGAACAATTCCTCCAAACGCCTTCCTTACTGAAAAGACTCATTCACGCGTGCACCTTACAAGAAGTTTCAAAGCTATTAAGTTTTTTAATCCTTTTTTCTTCTTTATGTTGAAAAGTGACGGTTACAGCGTTTGCAAACGGCAAAAATGACATTTACGGATTGTGCAATGAGGAAAAATCCTTTCTACTGAAAATAGACGGCAAGTTAATTTACGGCGAATCTCGTGCTTCCTCATTCCAAAAAATGTATTTCATGTTAAGGGCTATGTTATAAGCGTCAAAATGGTCCAAAAGAGGATATTGTTTATCTATCAATGTTGTGATCAAAGGTTACCAAAACTAGACAGTTCAATGCATCCATTCTGAATCAAGTTTGCAGGCTCTCCATCTTCCCCCTGGTCCCAGCCCACGCGCAGTTTGCATCTAGTTCCAAATATATATAAAGAAAATGTAGGATTTACAAAGAGTCAATTATCCTCAAATGTTATTTCGCGTTTCCAGTAAGTGCATTAAAATTTGCATTAAGGGTAACATCATGACTTCATTTTCCTCTTTCACTGAATATTCTACGTCGAAGTTGAAATATATTTCCAGTAGGTTGTTACCGTAGAAATGAAATAGTGTTTTATCACACATATAAAAATCAAACCAAATTATACGCAATGGAGACTCAAATCAAGGCACTAACCTTACAATTTGCTCACTTTAAAAAAATATTGAATTTTATTACAGCCACGAAAACTAGGGTGGAAATAAAATTCAAAAAGAAATGGCTTGAGGAAATGTCCGACAGTCAGAGTTCTCAGTATAAGCTGCTGGATGGGAATATTGTTGATGCGGTAAGTACCTCTCCTCTCACAATCCTTTTAGATGAATGTGTTTGGTTGAAAAATATTTCTTAATTTGATCGTCTGGTTCAATTTTCAAGGTGAGAGTGGTACTTAAGAAGTTTTTCAGTGATTATTGCTAATTATCAAACTGCTATAATTTGATTCTTTCCAGAAATTGAGATCACCCTTTTTCTCTAAGACGAACCATTCCTTGTACCTCAATCATTTTGACTTAATTTCTTTCCTTTGTTTTCATTTATCTCATTTTATCGATTTATTATTTTTTCCTTATGATTTTTTGATAAATTTCTATAGATAACAACAGAACTTATTGGGGACACAAACTACCTCAGTTCAGCAGTGATGACGTTAAAGTGAGTAATATGAACAATCATATTTGAGAATTAATTAATTGCATGGCCAAATTTCGCCATTATTTTTTGATAATAATGATTCCAAGCGACTTTTTGCCTGCTAACCAATTATGCCCTCCAATTCACATCACGTCATCACGTTACGTTGGTGTTCAGTTTTCTTCGCTACCCCAATGGATAGAAATTCTATTTATTCGAGCCAACTTCATAAATATATAGAAAGTTTTTGAGATCGCCCTCAAAATCTTAGGGCGTCTTCGAAAATCTTCGGTCGTCTTCGAAAATCTTCGGGCGTCTTCGGAAACCTTCGAGCGTCTTTGAACTGTCGAGTATTGGTGTCTCGCTGTCCACACACAAAACAAGGGAATGGCTTTGCATAAGATTCCACAATAAAGCGTACAAGGAAACTTAAAATTACCCATGCTGAGTTATTTTGGCTTTTTCTTCTTCTTCTGTAGAAGCTCCAATGAGCCTAAGTCAAACGTTTTAGCAGACATCGAGCTGCAGTTTGTATCGGACGAGCTTGATCCGGTCAAACATCTCCGTGCTATTGTGTCAGATGGACACATCTCTGGCATGATGGTCTACCCAGATTACTTTGTTGTCCTTGGAGGTAATGTCTTGTGCGATACATACAGGAATTGTTGGTGTTGCTGTGCTGTCCTAGTAATACATATATATATTTGGTTAGTGTTGTGTTGTTATGGCCGTTGATGTTGTTTTCCAATGAGCTACTCTCAGCAGTTTGATTTGTGTGGCTAATAATGCTGGAAAATTCTGCAGTATCTCCAATATAATCCAAATTTTTATTCTTCCTTTGTTCAATTTCCAGCTTCTTAAGACTCCCTGCTTGTTTCATTTATGTATTCTCAAAGACTAAATATTGGAATACTATGTGTTCTCAGAGTTGCAAATGAAATGAAAAGTTACCTTTTCATATAATTATTAATCACGAATATTTTAGG